CGATAGGGTTTCCAATGCCTGGTTAGTTATTCTAAGAAAACGGAATACATTTTTTTCAATTTTTGCGTTCTTAGATTGAAGTTGTTTTATACAATTTTAAGTAATATGGGAGTTTTATGGGAAATAAATTTCAGTCTCTGATAATTCTTAACAGAATGGCACTTGTAATATATCTTTGTAGATTGTTTGTTTTATATGTTTATGTACGGTATGTTTATGCTTTACAAATGATGAGATTATTATTATATTGAATCTTCCTTGGATCCTGTTTGCACTGACGTCTCAGATTTCAACAAACGCATTTATTTTCGTTTAAAAAACTATCGTGGCAAGGAGAAGTTGCAATTTTTAGGGCTGTGTTTCAATACAGATTTTATAAATAATGTCATAAACAATACTGAGAGAAAATATTTTGTGCGAACCCTGACACGAATTGTAAAGAATGCCAATGCAGGAAAACACAAGAAGCATTTAAGAATTCCTTCAAACTATAAATTAGCGAATTATGTTTATCTAAAATATACCAGACGTAGTGATCGAACGACAACAGTGTGATCCTATCATTAATCAATAAGAAGCCGGATTTGAAGGACAATTCATAAACTTGCGAGCTTCATAAATAATATAATAACAAAAACCTGGATGTGAAATACCACTTTTAGTTACAAGTCCTCCAGAATCTTCCCTGATGCAAGACTTCAAGGAAAAATCACATCCTTTTAGTTTCACAGCTGATACACAAAACGGCCACTTTATCTTAACCACCTGACCTTTATCAAAAAGTTTAATTGCTTAATTTAACTCACGACAAAACAATTATAGACATACTAGTAACTAAATTTGATTACCCTACACCCCCAAGACATCGTTACTTGTTCTTAATTACATCTGACAGTCAGCTTTACTTTTCTTATTTCTAAATAATCATGTCACAACCACAGCTCAGCTTAACTGAACATTTGAAGGTTCCCACTTTGTATTGGTTACCTAAACTACACAAAAAAACGGGTAAAATATCGTTTCATCTCGGTCTCTAGTAAGTGTTCTACTACTAGAATTTCAGTGCTTTTAACGAGTTCTTTAACTACTATCAAAGAATTAATCATTAGTTTTTGCAATAAAACATATGAAAATATTGGAATAAACCATTTTTGGAGTGTAAAAAATTCTTTGGATGTTTTAGATAAATAATGTGTTTTTGATGGTCCTTTTGATTCGGTTGATAGTTTTGACTTTTCCACTCTTTACACTACACTTCCACAAAATCTTATCAAACAAAAAATTTCCTATTTAAATAAATGGTCGTTCGATAGATCTGATTGCAAATTTGTTTGCTGCAACTCATATACAGCCTTTTTCTCAAACGTGAAAGGTAAATTTGCTAGATATACTTACTGGAGTTGTGGTGAGATGATTACAGCCATACATTTTCTCCTTGACAACATTTATGTACGTTTCGGCAGTAATAATATACATAAGGAGCTGAAATTTTCTTCATTTTTAAAGTCAAATAAACCTTTCATTTTCAATGACTTGGATAACCACATATGTAGACCATACTTATACTTACTTTGTTACTTTGATGATTCATCCCTTCAGTCATGAGGTAGGGACTTCGATTTCTTTTTGAACATGTCCAAAGTAGGCGAAGCGATAGTAGAGGTGGGAAGCTAGGTCCGAGAGTTCACTACTCGATTTGAGGAAAAGTTTTTCTTACATCAGTTCTAGCAAAATGATATAGACTATCTCAAACAAATGATCATTGAAATTAATGAAATTAAATTAAAATTTAAAAATTCCACCTTCTGGCTTGGTGGCGACTTTAACCTTCCAGACATAAAATGGCCGGAGCAAAATATATCTGGCTCATTGTATACTAAGGAGCTGAATGAAGCATTTATAGATATGCTGAACATCTTAGGCATTGAACAAATGGTTGATTTTCCAACTAGGAAAGATAATATCCTTGACCTTTTCTGCACAAACCAACCTGCATTGATAACAAAAATAAAATCCATACCAGGTATATCTGACCATGATATTGTATTAGTGGATGCAATCTGCAAGCCCCAAAGATCTAAACAATCACAACATAAAATTTATTTATGGAAAAAGGTTGATATTAAAAAGATAAAAGACATAACATCTCATTTTATATCTGAACTTATATCTCAGGCTAATGAAAATTTCAATATTGACCAATTATGGAATAAATTCAAAGAAGGTAGTAATAAAATAATAGATGATAATGTACCAAGCAAAATAACTAAATTTAAGTACACCAACCCTTGGGCAAATAGGGATATAGACCATTTATGTAAAAAACAACGTAAAGCTTACAACAAAGCTAAAAAAACTGGTAAACAAGAACATAAAGATAAATATAAAAAGTTAAAAGCTACTGCTCAAAGAGAAATAAGAAGAGCCCAGAGCACGTACATGCAAGAAATAATTAGCCCCCAGTTAGAAGAAAAACCTAAATCTTTCTGGCAATTTATAAAAAGTAAAAAAACAGAAACATCTGGTGTTTCACCATTAAGAGGAAAGGATGGCTTATTATATAGTGAGCCGAATACACAAGCTAACATCCTAAATGAACAATTTAAAAAGGCTTTTACTACCGAAGATACATCCTCGATGCCAAATAAAGGTACAAGTCCCCACCCCACTATGCCAGACATATTTATTAGTAATAATGGCTTATTAAAGTTACTTAAAAACTTAAATCCACACAAAGCCACTGGCCCTGATAATCTGCCAGCATATTTTTTACATAATTTTGCAGAAGAATTGTCTCCATTTTTGACATTCTTTTTCCAAAAATCTATTGATACTGGTAAAATCCCAACTGATTGGAAACAGGCTAATGTTGTACCAATATTTAAAAAAGGTGACAAGCATAATGCTATTAATTATAGACCAGTTTCACTAACTGCAATATGTTGCAAAATTCTAGAACACATTATAACAAGCAACATAAGGAAACATCTTACAATTAATAACATATTAAATGATAGTCAACATGGGTTTAGAAGTAAAAGGTCTTGTGAGACCCAACTTATCATCAGTTTACAAGATCTTGCAAAATCATTGGGATATGGTAACCAAATAGATGTTATACTTTTAGATTTTTCCAAAGCTTTCGATAAAGTCCCCCATCAAAGATTGGCCCAGAAATTAAACTTTTATGGTATTAGGAATCAAAATTTAAATTGGATAAATGACTTTTTAGCTGACAGGCAACAGCAGGTACTATTAAATGGTGTTAAATCTTCAAAATTAGCTGTTGATTCTGGTGTCCCCCAGGGAACAGTTTTAGGCCCAACATTATTTTTACTCTTTATTAATGACCTACCCGAACATGTAACTTGCAATGCAAGACTTTTTGCAGATGACTGTTTATTGTATAGAAATGTTAATAATAGTTCTGATGCCAAATTACTTCAAAAAGATTTATCTAGTTTAGTACAATGGGAAGAGGACTGGCAAATGAATTTTAATCCTGAGAAGTGTTATGTTATTCACATTTCTAAAAAAAAAGTAAACCTTCCACTTTTGATTATATATTGCACAATCATGTTTTAGAAGCAGTAAAAGATAGTAAATATTTAGGCGTAACTATAAGCCATGATCTTGATTGGGGAACACATATAAACAATATTACCTGTAAGGCAAATAAAACCTTAGGTTTTCTTCGTAGGAACTTAAAAAACTGCACACGTAAGGTTAAAAACCTTACGTACACATCACTTGTCCGTCCAGTCGTCGAATACTCTTCCCCTGTATGGGATCCGTACAAAAAGCAACACATCACTCAGGTTGAGCAGGTACAGCGTAAGGCAGCCAGGTTTGTCTTCAATGATTATAAAGACAGATCACCTGGAGCAGTTTCAAATTTAATTAAATCATTGGAATGGGAAAATTTAGAAATAAGAAGGAAAAAAGCTAGATTAACTATGCTATATAAAATAAATTGGGGGTTAGTGGAAGTTCCTAAGGACAATTTAACAATATCTGATAGACGTACAGGGGGAAACATAAATTTAGGCAAATATCAACAAATAAAGATTTCTATAAATTTTCTTTTTATCCTCGCACTATTTCGGACTGGAACTCACTACCTGAAGCAATAGGTATGTCTGACACCCTGGAATCCTTCAAAAGTGGCATATCCACTCTAACATTTGAAGGAGCCACTACAACTTATTAAACTACAAAGCCACTGTACATAATGTATATATGTTATTGTTAATGATTTTTCTTTGTCATATTATTTTTAAATTAAGTCCATATGTACATAGCACACAAGTTCCGGGAAGTTTTACACTCCTACCTAGGAGTCTACTCCCGTATTCGGAAGAAGAAGAAGAAGAAAATACTAGCTTATAGTTGTGACCTCTAGTATGCGATTCACTCATTTCGAATTAATTGTCTGTGTAAGAAATATATGTGTTGTGTGTATATTTGTATGTTTCACAAATATCCTGTCTCCATGTTCTAGATTTAAGTGATTCTAAATTGACACGATGAATTGTTTGCCATACGAGTACACCTACGCTGGACTTTCTCTAAAGCTTCAATATCTCAGTTTAGTTAAATTCGGTGACCAAATATTTGATCCATATTCGAGAATTGGACGCACAATAGATTTATACAATATAGATACTTTCTCAGACGTTAAATTAGTAAAACATCTTCTTATAAGACATAAACGCTGGTTTGCCTTTTTTCACCACTTGGGAAATATGACTATTTAAATGTAAGTCATTTGAAATAATATAAAGTATTAAAAAATGGCCTTTAATAGAAATTATAATGCTTTCCAGTGTTTAACAACACACCTTTGATCACCTGTAAATAAATATCAGCTCATAGACGGCAAGCTTTTTATAAAAGCTATAATTTGTGTCTTGAACAGCCACATGGAAAGGGAACTAACTGTGTATAGTTGACCTATTTTTAAACCCAGCGGAAGCAGCACAGTCACATGTTACGATTGACCTATCGTTACTGCGGAATGTTACAAACATGGCGACTTAGGGGTGAATTTTCTTCCTGTCATTGTGGAAAAAGTTTTCTTACTGACATATATTAGACCTTATGCAGTGAATAAAGCTATCAAATGAAACTAGGGACTCTAGTTTTGTTGCAACTGGAAGACGAGGTTAATTTGCATTAAGTTTTATTGCTTTCTGAAATTTGTAAACACGTGAGAGGTGTTCATACAGGTAGTAAGACACCCGCTCCCTTTTCAAGTACATATGTGTACATAGTGAAATAAAATATGTTGTAAATATTATGTTGAGTTTGACGGTAAAAAAATAGCATCAAAAACTCTCTTTATACTTCCTAACCACTTTGACATTGTCTATCACACGACCTGCCAAACTAATATAAAATAAATGTCACTCCTGTCTGCTTTATTCCATCATTTAGATACTCATTAACTTATTAAGATCGCCACAATGTATAAAAGGGCTTAGTATATTAGTTGGTTTGTTTATTTACAGACTTACAATGTATACAGGTCAATAAAAAAATCCTGTAATGATTTATGCAAGTTCCTAATGACACTACTTTCCCATAAAGGTTATGATTCAGCCCCTACACTCCCATTGGAGCAACATAGGAATGTGGTCTAACTAATTAGTGATAATAAGATATATTTAGCATCAAGAAAGTTTATATATACTATGATATACTATAAAACAGTTTTTGTTTTCATTGCATTTTATGCCAGTTCTCTTATTTATATTATACAATTATGGCCCGCTTAGGAGTTTAATGTCCAAAATTGTCAACCTGAGTAAGGGTTATTTCACGAGGGCTTTATTGAATATTCACCGACTCAATGGGCCATAACTGTTTTATTATACCAAACATGCAATTATTAGATGTAAAATATTGCCATACGGGAGTAAAAAAGATTGTCAAAACACTTATGCTAGGAAATTATTTTGTGTCTTAGAATTTCTGGTATGTACAACAAAGGTATAGACTTTCTGTAAAATATTGATGACCCTGAAAAGAACCATTTACGAGAGATATCCTCGAAACGGGATGATTTTCCAAGCCTTGTTTGATCTTGTTTCCTTTTAACTTCTTGGGCTTCTTACCTGGTCGTTGCCATTTTGTTTACAGGCGTCAATGACATCATTTTTTATGGGAGATAACTCGTGCAAAAACCAAGGGTCTGAAAAGGTTATTCAATGGGGAATAATAGGGTTGTTTAATGGAGGCTTAAATTTGTCTAGGTTATTCATCACTCCTGCCAATTTTTGGTAAAACATCAAAATTAAACTATGACATGTGAGACTGCATTAGCCAATCAAATAATAACTATACAATGTCAGGTATAATAAGAAATTTTAACATGTTTAATGGCATTGTTGTGAGATTTCAGACACATACATCTAATACAACATTATTATACATGATAATAAAGATAAAACTGCATGCAGAATTTCAGAATATTCAACATGTTACATTATACATGCACACTGAAAGTTATATACCTATCGTTTGAAGAGCAACAACTCTGTCAACATATACTGTGGATTCATTATTATTCGTTGGATACCAATTTTCGTGGATTTCGTGGAAACCGGGGAACCACTAATTCCAATGTCAAACGAATGGCAAACTTTCTATAGGAATTTATGCAAACTTTGGCAAAACCACGAAATCAAATGACCACGAAAATGCTAGTTTTCCTCAATCCACGAAAATTGGTACCCACGAAAATAAATGGATCCACAGTATTACATTACACATGCACACTGAAAGTTATATACCTATCGTTTGAAGAACAACAACTCCATCTGGTTGTAACTCTAATATAATTTTTTTGGGAAAACAGATATGTGTGTATTTTTAAAACCAACAGAGTGTCCATCAACCTATTTTTACACATCAAGCTTCCGCGTTCCTGCACATCAACAAATCTTTTATTACAACTGTCAGGGAAGTTGATAAAATCTAAAGGAAGTGATATTAGAGTAACTTATTCATAAAATATATTCTGATATTAATTATAGTTGTTTAAAATCAAAAACATCAATTAAATGTTGATTGACCCAATTTATTTGTAATCGAAATAACGACTGGGAATGTGTATGTTCCAAATGGTCGTGTGTATTCAATCTGATTAAATTTAAACAAATGCAAACTTTTTTAAAGCAATAAAATGAGAAAATAAATAGTGCACATTTGCACTCTGATTTACCAGTGAATCAAGTATTCATTTATACTGATTTGATCATCAGTCCCAGGTACTCAGATTAAACGGGACAACTAAAACACCAAATGCACCTGTTTAATCCCAAAGCAAAAACATAATGCATCACCCACTAAGTGGCACACATAATGAATGTATAATCTGGTGTGTTGCTATGTTAAACATGATAATTAGATGCTATTCTATTCTAGTTATTAAACTGGGGACACATGTAATTGCTATTCTATTTTATGTTCTTACTCTATGGTAGTCGTTTTGAGGCATACATAAAAGGGTAGGTACGGAAACCCTAAACACGTATTTTTGTTATTCTGACCTCCGATTGGCTGCCTCACAGCCCTACCATGCTTTGATTATAGAACTGGAAACAACGTGCTGTAAATATATATGTGCATGTATATGTAAAAAGTACTTAGATTTATGAGCAAAAAAAAGTTGCAAAAGCTTATCATTCTATAATATTACAACCCTAATATTTGATTTAATTTTACTTTATCTAAGATGGAAATTAAAAATAAAAAAATGCTCATTTCTGATAAAGAAGATACATTTTTCTGATGTCTATAATATATAAACTTAGAATCATTTAGCATAAATGAAGATAGACTAACAGCTTTATTTTTATCCTTACAGCCTCCATTAGTGCAGGCTTGTTACCATGGTGATCCAGATGAAGTCCGAGCATTGTTGTACAAGAAAGAGGATGTTAACTACCAGGTTTACTTCATATTATAATTTTAATCAGAGACACTTTTTGAAAAAGTGTTGATTCAAATAAAACTAAAATAAATGAGATTTATTAATTACGATTTTGCAGTTTTCAAGTTTAAGATCCAATTATACAAAATAGAAAATAAAATTACACATTGTTCTTAAAATTCAAATGTAAATAAGGAATTGCGAGCATAAGATATGAGTTGATGGAATAACAGTCTTACAGATTTAATACATTTATAAACTATTCTTGCAGGATTCTGAGAAAAGAAGTCCATTACACTCAGCTTGTTATTGTGGAGAGAGTGAGATCGCAGATCTTCTAATACAAAGTGGAGCCAGGGTTAACACAAAGGATAACAAATGGCTGACTCCATTACACAGGGCATGCTGTTCCAAATCTGAGGTAAGTGAATATAGGGTAATCAGGGTTATTGCTCTAATGTTCAACATTCATTTCCAATGCCTTTAGGGAGATATGAAAGTTTGTTCACCAAAGAATTGTTGTATTTCACAAAGTTTTAATTTTTTGCTTGAAATAGTTTTTTTATCAATTCGAAAATATATCTTAGAGTATTAAACATGTTAAAGTTAAAGTGCTGCAAAATTATTTTGTCTAAAATTATGAAGAAATCGAGTAAATATTTGGTGCAAAATTATTATATTTCATGTGTGGAATCTATATGAATTTCATATTATGTAATAAGAATAGATTTATCTACTAGCTTAAATCATAGAGATAGATGACTGATGTGTTCTCTGCCATTTTTTATGTCACTGATTTATATCCAGATTCTCTATAAAGGCATGTAGATACAATCTGACAAATGATTTTCTGTCTGGACAAACCATTTTATGACCCTGTGTGTCCATGCATCCTGATTACACATAGAGATTATCCTGCAGCTGTCAATGTCTCTGAAAACAGGCTTCTTGTCAAATTTGGTTTTTAATTTGAAATAATGTTTAGTGGTGGTACGAGGTTTCCACATAAACACACTTTAATTTAAGTACAAATGTTAACAAGAAACTTTTTTTACCTTAACAGGAAACAGTTGAAGTATTGTTGAGACATCAAGCAGATGTAAATGCCAGAGACAAAAACTGGCAGACACCATTACACGTAGCAGCTGCCAACAATGCTGTACGCTGTGCTGAATTACTGGTACCTTCCTTGACAAATGTCAATGTGTCTGACAGGGCAGGCAGAACCAGTCTACATCATGCTGCCTTCAATGGACATAAAGAGGTTTGTTAGATATAAGATACCTACACTAACAAATGTTATAATGTCTTACAAGTTAGGTAAAATCAGCCTGCATCATACTTTCAGTTGACTCAAGTATGTATTTCAAACATAAATAAATTCCCAAACCGTGTTAATGTATTTGACAAGGCTATCAGAACCAGACAAAATTTATTTCAAGTGACTTTGAATGGACACACAGAACATTTATATTTTCCCTGCATAACAATTGCTTATTTCACAAAATGTACTAAGTATGGATACAAATAACTGTAAATTCTCAATTGATTTGGCTTTTAGTTTCTCATCCCAAAACACAAAATCCTTATAAAAATATATAACAGACCAAGTCCTTACTGTCCAAATGACTTAAATCTCTCTTCCTTTTTGTCACAATTCAAATGACCTTAAATTAACAACAAAAGTGATCATAAAACTGAATTTGGCAAAGTTTTTGACAATCAAGGTTAAGCTTATATTCAGCAATTAATTCATTGATCTGTTTAGCAGTTAAGTATGCTTTCAGCACTGCTTACTACATATTAAATTGTCTGATATGTTTATCTTTGCAGGAAATTTATTATCACTAATCACCCTGCTTAATTGATTTCCTTTATTTTTCATATAACAGGTATTCAAATAAATGATAATATTGATATTTTTGTTTTAAAAGATTACTTTATATATATTGTTTTCTTACTTCACAGCCCTTCTGTTTTAATAGATTTATATCTAAAAGATGTGGGTAATTTTTATCTTTTTCTTTTTTAAAGAATCAACAAATGTTTTTGAAATTGTTCATTTTTTAGCTCACCTGGATGAAAGGCCAAGTGAGCTTTCCTCATCACTTCTCGTCCGTCATTGTTAACTTTTACAAAAATCTTCTCCTCTGAAACTACAGGGCCAAATTTAATGAAACTTGGCCACAATCATTATAAGGGTATCTAGTTTACAAAATGTGTCTGATGACCCAGCTTTCAAACAAACATAGCCGACATGGCTATGGTTAAATGCAAGTTTTGTCTATTATCTTGAAAACTGCTTTGAATAAAGAAAATCTGACAGGAACAGAAATGTACAGATTGTTGACATCTATCTGCTGTCCATTTACATCAAACTGTCAGATGACCCCTTATAGGACATATTGCTCATAAATATTAAATTTTACCAATTTTTTTTCATTTTTGCTGATTGATTTGAAAACTATAATAGATATCATCTTTAATTTGGAAATGTGATCATCAAGACAAGATCTACAAATAAGTCAAAATGACTGAAATAGACGACTCCTTATTTGAGTTATTACTCTCTAATGAAGATTTTTACCAGTTTTTTTTTCGTTTTTGTCTAATATCTTAAAAACTATAATAGATAGATGAAAACTTTAAACAGCCAAAATGATCAACAAGACAAGATCTACAAATAAGTCAAACATGACCGAAATCGTTCGACAACTCCTTATTGAAGTTATTGACTTTAATGACGATTTTTCCCATTTTTTAGCATTTTTTTTTAGTTTTTGCCTACTATCATAATTATCTTGAAAAGTATTATAGATATAAAGAAAGATAGAAAGTTTAAAATGCAAAAGTGATCAGCAGGACAAAATCTACAAATATGTCACCATGACTGAAATTGTCAGTTAACTCTTTATAGAGTTATCGCCCTTTCATTATAATGATTTTACCTAAAAATAGCCATGGTGAGCGACACAGGCTCTAAAGAGCCTCTAGTTTGGTTATAAATTGGTCGAAGCAAGTGCAATGTTGGGAAGAACCTTTCTTTATTTAAATAGTATTTCCACCTTTTCTCCCAAATCAGAAGTTATACTCCTCTGTATGTCCAACAAATAAACACATTTTATTTTATATTTTACCTATTTTAATGAAATGATACTTGCAAAGTTTTCAATGATTTCTGAAAATGATTTTGTATGTTTTTAGATGACAAAATTATTGTTAGAGAAAGGTGCTACCATTAATGCCTTTGATAAGAAAGATAGGCGTGCAATACACTGGGCTGCTTACATGGGTCATGTAGAAGTTGTGAAGATCCTGGTGGAACATGGCGCTGAACTTAATTGTCGTGATAAACAGGTTTGAATTTTTTATACTCATCATTGACATACTTTTTATACGCCTGTTTACGGGACGTATTATGGTATACCTCTGTCTGTCTGTCGTCAACATGTCGGACATTAACTCAAAAACGCTTAAACCAATTTGCATAAAACTTTGGTGAATTGTTTATATCTATTGACATGAGCTCCCTTTCGTTTTTTATAAATTTTAGATTTTATGTAAGCCCCCTTTTGATTTTCATAAACTTCTAATATGACATTGAGAATTAATTGAACTTTATTTGTTTATAGTCAGAACAGATTTACTAAGTATTGCGCAACAGCACAGAGTATTGCACAACAGCAAGAAATCTTTAATTGAATATAAATTCAATTCATATAACCAATTTCAAGTTCAGAAACCTATAATATGTCAAATATTTAATTACAATCCAAATTCAGACCTGTATCAAGCTTGAATATTGTGTCCATTTTTGCCCCAACTGTTCAGGGTTGGACCTCTGCGGGCGTATCCAGCTGCGCTCAGCGAAGCAGTTTTTATTATGATATAAAATATAGACTTTTCAAAAGTTCTCTTTGCTGTGATTTAAAAAGGTTCACCTCTCTTTTGTTTGTTGTATGAAGGTTCACCTCTCTGTCGTATATTTTATGAGGGTTCAGCTCTCAGCTGTGTGTTTTATGTAGGTTCACCTCTCTTTTGTATATTTATGAGGGTTCACCTCTCAGCTGTATGTTTTATGTAGGTTGACCTCTCTGTTGTATGTTTTATGAGGGTTCACCTCTCTGTTGTATGTTTATGAGGGTTCACCTCTCAGCTGTGTGTTTTATGTAGGTTCACCTCTCTGTTGTATGTTAATGAGGTTTCACCTCTCTGTTGTATGTTTTATGAGGGTTCACCTCTCAGCTGTATTGTTTTATGTAGGTTCACCTCTCTGTTGTACGTTTTATGAGGTTTCACCTCTCTGCTGTATGTTTTATGAGGGTTTACCTCTCTGTTGTATGTTTTATGAGGGTTCACCTCTCTGTTGTATGGTTATGAGGGTTCACCTCTCTGCTGTATGTTTTATGTAGGTTCACCTCTGTTGTTTTATGAAGGTTTGAATTTAAGAAGACATGATTTTGCAAAAAAAAATGTGTTTATCCAATATTATTCAACATAAGAAACTTTAAGGGACATACGATATGATTGTTGTGTGTACAAAATTTGTTACTGAAAAAAATTCCATTAAAAGACCAAAACTTTGGAAAGCTGTAAGTATTTGAATGTCTTAAACTGTACATGTCAACGCAGTCTGACATCTGACTTCACAGCTAATCTTAGGGATCAACTGTTCATTGATTGGGCTTAAATTGAATCGAATACGGGAACCCCTTTTTTTTTACGATCAATGCATTTGAATGGGGACTTATAGTTGGAACCCCCTTTATTGTGGGTTGGGAACCCCCCTTTTGAAAATGGCTGGATCTGCCCCTGATTGTCCTGATAAACATTAAGTATAAAGATAGTTATTCTATAGAATAGATCTACTATTGTCCTGATAAACATTAAGTATAAAGATAGTTATTCTATAGAATAGATCTACTATTGTCCTGATAAACATTAAGTATAAAGATAGTTATTCTATAGAATAGATCTAGTATTGTCCTAATAAACATTTAGTATCTAATGGTCAAGATTGTTATTATATTCCAGATGTACACACCCTTACATGCTGCAGCAGCCAGTGGACAAGTCAGTGTGGTCAAGCTGTTATTAGAACTGGGTGTAGAATATGATGCGGTCAATATCCATGGCAACACAGCACTCCATATAGCCTGTCTGAATGGTCAGGATGTTGTGGTTACAGAACTACTTAGTTATGGAGCTTCCATTAATGCTTGTAATCATAGAGGCCTGGTGAGTCAAACAACATCTTACATTTAAAAATCATATCAAAGGAAAACTTATAACTGACAATTTTATGAAACAATAATTGATTTTAAATTTTGTAAAGGAAATCTTTATTATGTTGTTTATGGAAATGTCCATTCTGTCGGCTGGTTATAGTAAAAACAGGATCATTTTTTAAAAAGAAGATCCGCAATTCTGTCAGAATTGAAAATTATTTGTTGACATTTATTTCAGACTCCATTACATTATGCAGCATCATCAACACATGGTGGGATCTGTTTAGAAATTCTTGTTACTGAAGGAGCCAATGCCAGAAATCAGGTAGATATCATTTAAAATGAATGAATCTTTTAAGTCGTTGTATAAACTTGAAGGTTTTTTATGACTTATCATAGTACCAACATTCCTAACCCTAGAATCTGGTAACCTCTTACAGACTTGGAATAAATACCATCAAAACAATTTGTTATTTGTAAAGAGAAGTATAGCTCCATGGCCTGATAATCAAGGTCCAATAAATGAATATTCGGTACCTATCACATTGATTTAAGGGGAATTATATATATGAAAGATTTTTAAAAACACAGCATTGAATATGTCCACATGCTTTCAATAATTTATCTGGTTTTTTGGGGGGAGCATTTTGAAGGTCAAATGAATGCTGATGGCAGAAAAAAAGATTGAGTAAAAAAAATGCAGGTTCTTTCTTTATTTCTACTAGTTGATCAACAATGTAGGTCAATGTAGTGTACACAGAAAACGATATAAATGTGAGCTGGAGGGATCTTATATATTTAAAGATTGCTCATTTGTTACAATCTTACTCAATTCTGAGTAAATTTACTTTTAATAAATTCTCTCATATCTCATTACTCAATGAACTATAACTGACTTACAAACAATAAAATATCTATATAAAAAATTATTTTATCAGTCCATTTTCATAGTACAGCCCTTTGGATGTTTTAAAAATATAATTCCTTTACATAACTTAACACCCACTTGTAAAGGATCTTCAAGTCAAACACACACATTTACAACATTGTTGGTTTGACTAGTATATATTTATTTTTCCTATCTGTATTAATTCTGACTTTTCATGTTTCTCTAAGTCATTTACAAAGAAATATACATTTATAAAATTTTCAATGATATGAAACGTATATTATTGTGGTTTTTTTTATACAGTATGAAAGTTCTTTTAATTGTTAATATGTAATTCCGTTATTTAGAAATGTAGCTCAGTTGAGAGAGAGAAAGTAAAAAGTGGTGAGAAAAGAGGAAGTATGTAACAGCATGATCTCCCTTTGTTTGTATTGTCCAACAGCATGTCAACAACATTGTACTTTGTCAGTAGTTCTAAAACAGCACGTATCCACCACACTGTAATACTCTCTAAATTTCTACACCCTTTATCTATAGTATAGGGATCCATTTGTGAAAATAATAATGAAAGTTTGGCAGATCGATTCTTAATTCTTAATAGACGTTTAAAAGTCTATGTGAAACCATTTCATTCTTGTCCCGTTTTGGAGTTGCGTTCCAATTTGTGGTTATTTAACTTTTAACTAAACACTGACACAGTATAAGTATTACGGACTTGTTCCAAAATTTGATTATGAAACATTGTATAATTTCAATAACATTTAGGAGGTATTATGTTTTTAAAGCAGAAATCATTTTAGTTTCTGAATTATACCAGAGTAATTTGTATCTTTTGTGTTAAAACACAAGATGTTTGCTATGAATAGGACTGAGATCTCCATACAGTAGTTAAGAAGTTAAAATATAATTGATCTGAATTTTACTGTCCTAAAATTAATCCAACTTCCTACAATAACTCCAGTATTAGTAAAACAACAAATGTATTTTGAAATACAATCACTTTTCTCTTTGAAAGAAGGCAGCATCTGTTTCTCTGTATTTTTTTAAGTAACTTGTAGTGTTAAGTTATGTTATTAATTATCATAGTAAGTAGAAAATTTTGCTGTTTCAAAATCTATGTGGAATCTGAATTTATCAGGACAATTATAGAATAAAGCAACTGAAAACGTCTACTAAATTTGATGTTTCATCTGGATAAAGCTGTTTTGCCATGACATCACATTTAGCAATAATTAATCAATGTTAGCAAGGAAACATCTGACGGTATAAATAACCTGGTTTAATTAGATTTTGAAATGGCAAATTATACAATATATATATATAGCCCATTGTTTGAAGTACATAACAAGTGAATGGTGTTTGTGTGTTGTAGTGTATGGATGGTAGAACTCCACTACACATGACAGCATTGCATGGTAGATTTACCAGAGCACAGACACTAATAGAGCATGGTGAGAATTATATATATATCTTTCCCAAGGTAAGACAGTCGAGGCTCACTCTTATTTGCATGAAAAGGGAGCTAAGATTCTGAAGTTTTGTTGACGAACTTTGTAATCTACATTTATTGGTAATAATATTTATTGAAGTTTAACTTTAAATAGCCTTACATATTAAAGTTAAATATAAAAATATTTGAGTTGAACATTTTAAGTACACTTTATGATACACTTTTCATGACTTTTTTGGTAAGCCCTTTTTGTCCACTCTTCAATATTAAAATTTACTTCAAATGTAAAATGGAGAAATGTTAAATTTTAAATCTGTTGCTTAAAATATGTTTTTGTATATTTTTGACTGGTATTATTATATTATCGATGATTACATAAAGTATGATATATTTTCAACATCAAAGGAGTGCTTGATTTTAAATGCCTTTGTTATTTCTGTTTTCAGGTGCTGAAATAGATGCCTGTGATAAGAACGGGAACACTTCTCTCCATATAGCTGCTAGATATGGCCATGAATTACTAATTAATACACTGTTAGAACAAGGAGCTGATCCAATGAGGTTTGTAAGATCAGAATTTAAAAAGGGTTGTTTAAGAAATATTCATGGGAGCCATAGATTTGTTTTCATTTAACCATGCATTGGGCATTTATATTAAATTTGTTTATCCTGAGAGTTAGGGAGTAGTAATATATGAATATAAATGCCCAACCCATGATTAAATGAAAACAAATCTATGGCTGCCATGACATATTTCAATTTTAATAGGACAAATACCGTCATTTTGTCAACGGTGAAAGCCCTATACACACGATACTGTTTTGGCTGTTCCGTTTTACCCCCCATAAAATAATATATTATTCAATAATAAAAACTCACATTTTATTACATTCAGGGGTGTAAAAGAAGCCTGAAAATATGTGGTGTTTACATTTGATGCCAGAAGCATACATATGACGTCACTTTGTTTAGTTGCCAAAGATGATAACATCATTTAGCGGAATTTTCTTTCTATGAAATTTTACACCGAAATGATAATTGAAATGGAGTGATTTGTTTATATTGCATTAGAATAGAGATAAATGTATTGTATTTGAAGCTTTGCCTACAGAAAACATGGGTTATAATGTCGTAATTTGAGTTTACCTGGTCGTATAAATAAGATGGTCTTAACACAGCACAGCCATTTTTGTGTATCAATGCATTTGCACTAAAAGTAGAATTAGAATTGTATTTATTTATTTAGAAGATGTAGCATATTGAAAAATATATATATATAAAGATGAGGTACGACAGGGATATTACTAGTACATGTTGCTTCTTTGAATTTAGCATTACTTTTATATTTGTTTAGACGTGGTACAAGTGGGATGTTACCAGTACATGTTGCTGCTCTTAATGGTCATACTGATTGCATGAAACGATTACTGTCTGCCATGCCACAGTTAAACATTGACATCACAGATGATTGTGGAAGAACTTGTCTCCATGGGGCTGCATGTAGTGGGTAAGTTAAACATGGACATCACAGATGGTTGTGGAAGAACTTGTTTCCATGGAGCTGCATGTAGTGTGTAAAATAGCCTGTATCATCTGACTATTGTCCAGTGGCAAATATGTCATCATTCTTTGAGACAGGAACAAATTAAACATTAAATACCATAAATTATCAAAGATATGTAGACTGGAATGAAAGACAGGAGTTTTGGACTGACAATACAGTAAAATAGAGAGAAAGATAACAAGGGAGCAATAACAATTGAAAACAGACAACACCAATACACCATGGCCAAGAAAAATTACAAAACACTACACAGAGAAATAGAGAGAAAGCAACACCACCAAAAATTAGGGTGAAATTTGGTGTGTTTAGCAGGTCATGTGTTTTACTTTGGAAACTGTCATATATGGACCCCAACAAGAGTAATTGCATGAGTTCTTTAATGTGTAAAGATTGTGGCACTCTCCAATCACTGAGCAATAGATCAAGTATTTAAAATAATGAATTACGTCTGTCATATAATATTGTAATAGAATAGTAGTAAATTGGTTGGTATTTTTCAGAGTTATCTCCCATCTTGTATTGATTTTACTGGCTCATCCATACAATGTATTTGTTCTGCTGACAGATACAGAGTGGCACTTAAACAAAATACCAATTCGAAGTCTGTTGCAATTTAAAAACAAGCTCTTGTTATACTTTAAAAAATTATCATTCATTTTATGTGAAAGGGAGTTTTTAGAAGTATATAAGTAAAACTAAAGACTACACCAAAATATGACTAATTTTTAGTTTATTTGTTTAATTTTAAGATAGAAATGATTTGTCAGGTAGTATATAACAGATAAAGTTAATGGAAGAGAGGATAGCATAAGTTTGTTTTTCACAACACGTGTGAAAATATGTTATAAGATAAGTCAGCCGAAGATTGTCAGCAAAAATCTTTTGCAAGTAGCATTTAAATTTATATTTTTTGTAAGTATGTTTATTTTTATATTTATAGGAAAGTTGATTGTGTAGAATTATTATTAAAGACTGGTGCTAATATATCACAGTTAGATGTGGAGGGAAGGTAAGCAGCGGTCAAAAGTTCACAGAGAAATAATACAAATATATCACCAACAATTTCAAGTTTAAATATTTTTCTGCACTTTAGTTGAGATAGAATCCTACTGAATTTGAAAGAGTGAGGTCAAAGCACACAAAACAAACATAGTTTTGAAACCATTGTACAAAATATAAAACCAGAATCATAAAAGTTTGCAAATGCAAAAAAAGAAGCACGAATTTTGTTAATGTATATATTTCAGATTAGAAAATAGTTTTTCCCATTTAAGAATTTAGGTTACAATTATAGTGCTCATCATTAAATAATATTAGATTATGTATTTCATGTATTTACTGGTTTCGTATATTAAATAATTATATTTCAGAACACCCTTGCATTATGCTGCTGCACATATAAATTTCCAGTGTGTGTCTATACTGCTAGATACAGGAAGTAATGTCAATATTACAGACAGACGTGGATGTACACCACTACATTATGCAGCAGCTTCAGATCCGGATGCAAAGTAAATCCTTAAATAATTACATTGTATTTCTTAGTTTGTTATTAGCTAGTTATTACCCCCAAAGTGAGACTGTCATGTGAATAACTGTTTTTATTACAATTTTTGTCCGATATTCAATGTATGAGTGAAATAAGTAATTTGTATTTATAAAAGTGTGGAGGTAATTAATCTGATCAGATGTAGTCCTCAGTCAAGTCTTATTTCTGAGTTAAGATCTCAGATAATAAATGAACTTCAATCATATAACTTTGTATAAGGGATGTATATTGGGAGTGTAGCAGCTTCCAGGAAGAAGTAGATATCTTGGACCTATTTTTTACTCTTCATTGACTTTGATTAAGTTTTATATTTGATATTAGATCTCAGAAGCAAAGTGACCTTCATTTATATTAATATAAGATTCTTGGGATTATAGCAGCATTCCACAAAAAAGTAAGTCATTGAGACCTATTTGTGAAGCTTCATTGACTTTTGATTACATTTTTTTCAAATCTCAGAAACTAAAGTCATATAAAAATGGTGTAAAGATGCATTTTAGGCAAAAAATAAAGAAGTCTCTGAATTATATTCACTTTTAGTTGTCTTCTACTAAATTTTCCATTTAGCTTCATTTTTCAGATTGTGATAGTATGTGACCTGCAATCATAGAATTGTTATTATTATTATTATACAAGATTTATAAAATCAATTTAGGGAAGACCTTTATAAAGATAATGAGATGTGGTATGATTGCCAATGAGACAACTACCCACCAGAGATCAAAGGAATAGGATGTTAACAACAAAAATAGATTCCCATGTAGATTACATATGTTATTACTCTGATTACAGGGTGATAGAATTACTACTGAAACATGATCCTCGTCCAGGAATCCGGGATAATGATGGCTACAATACAGTCCATTATGCAGCACTCAAAGGTCATAAGTTATCATTAGAAATGGTAAGTCATTTTATTATTACAATGTACTGAAAATTTATAATAGTACAGACTTATAATCCCAGTGAAAACATTTTGAGTGATTTAAAATTTTAACACATAGATATTAAAATCAAAAAGAATGAATTAATATACATTACTAAGTTTCAAGGTCATGACAGAAGACTAATTTTACTTGTGAGGAATTTCTAGTCTAACAAGTTCAAGACAACGAAGCTGCATATAATCAAAAGATAATTCTTTGTATAGTCATTTTTCTATGTTTTGAAATCTTGTATTATGTGGAATGTGATGTCATATGTTGCTTTGAATTTGTAATTTCCTATTGTTCATGTTGAACTTCCTGATTTCAGCTTCTTGATGCTGCTGCTACAGATTTGTTGAGGAGTGGAGCTAGATATTCCCCTGCTCACCTGGCTGTAAGTTATCATTAATGGATGGCATTCTCTGACTCACCTGGTTTGGATTAGACCTATGATGAATGACTTCAATTGATCCATACTACAAGACATCAATATTTTAGTTCCTTGACGTTGCCTTTTGTATCATAATTTATATCTTTATTAAACTTCTTGCATTTATGGTGCATCTGGAATTTTTACGCAATTTAAATTATTTGATAGAAATGAAGGTTTTATTATTTATCATTGCTTAGGCAAGAGTAACAAATGTTAATCATCTTGGGCACTTCCCTATATCTGAAAAATCTGCTGCATTGTCATTTTCCTGTCAAGAATTTATCATTGACAGGAGATACTATGTTTAATTTCTGATTTCTTTTTTCATGAGTGAAATGCTCAAAAATACCAATTAGGTTCATAGAAAAATTTTAAAGCTTTGTATTTCACAGTATGTGCCCAAAACCACTCCCTTTATGTCCCTGACTATTGAAAGTTTTCAAAAATTTGTTTAAACACACAAAAGTCTTTTCTTGGTATGAGCTTTCAGGCCAGTAGGGCACAGACTGATTTCAGAATACTCTGCTAAAATTGTTGATTACATGTTTTTATTTTGAATTTAGTGATAAGTATTAATGAAATTTTAGCAACTTGCTTTTGTATATTTTCAGGCTTACAATGGTCATAGTGATGCCCTTAATGTATTGCTAGGTTGCATAATGAATTTGGATATAAGAGATTATCATGGTTGGTACATAAAAAGAGATTTGGTGTTGAATCAGTAATACAGAACAGTGTTTTTAGTTGTTATAATTTGTTCATTAATCTATGAAGCATTACTTAGTATTCTAGAATAATTGCATAATATTCACAACAGTCCCTAAATTCTCAAAAGGACCACATTTCCATGTCAATAAGTAATTGCCATATGGGACAATGTAATAGGTCAAGCTGTTGTTTCACAGTATTTACTTGAGACTAGATCTTTGTATTTTAAGCAGCTGCGGACAGTTTAATGCATAGCAATCTTTTTGGGGGTTTCTTCTCTTGAAAGTTTGTTGATTTACAAAATTTGATTTAAAACACGACAGAGGATAATTAAATTTCGAATGAAGTGAATGCATATTTGTTAAGTTACTATTTAGTGTTTTCTTTTTTAAAAAAGGAAATTGGAATTATATATTATTTACTTTCATAAATGTATAGAACAGAAATTAAAACTCGTGTGTTTTATGTATACACATTACATATTGAGGAATATAAAAATAAGAAGATGTGGTATGATTGCCAATGAGACAACTCTTCACAAGAGACCAAATGACACCAACATTAACAACTATAGGTCACTGTACTGCCTTCAACAATGAGTAAAACCCATACCACATTGTCAGCTATTAAAGGCCTCAAATTGACAAATGTAAAACAATTCATACAAGAAAACTAACGGCCTGATCTATGTACAAATAATGAATGAAAAACAAATATAATATACAGAAGACTGCTAATTAATTTTGACACATTTGAAAAAAATGTCTTAAACTGAATCAATTGTTTTGCGATGATGTACTTCGGTAAAACTTTGAAATATAAAGACATTATTGCTCTACTGTAAAACCTTGAGATATAAAGACATTATTGCTCTACTGTAAAACCTTGAGATATAAAGACAGTATTGCTCTACTGTAAAACCTTGAAATATTAAGACATTATTGCTCTACTGTAAAACCTTGAAATAATAAGACTTCATGGCTCTATTGTAAACCCTTGAAATATAAAGACATTATTGCTCTACTGTAAAACCTTGAGATATAAAGACTTCATTGCTCTACTGTAAAACCTTAAAATATTAAGACATTATTGCTCTACTGTAAAACCTTAAAATATTAAGACATTATTGCTCTACTGTAAAACCTTGAGATATAAAGACATTATTGCTCTACTGTAAAACCTTGAGATATAAAGACATTATTGCTCTACTGTAAAACCTTGAAATATTAAGACATTATTGCTCTACTGTAAAACCTTGAGATATAAAGACATTATTGCTCTACTGTAAAACCTTGAAATATAAAGACATTATCGATCTACTGTAAGACCTTGAGATATAAAGACATTATTGTTCTACTGTAAAACCTTGCGATATAAAGACATTATTGCTCTACTGTAAAACCTTGAGATATAAAGACATTATTGATCTACTGTAAGACCTTGAGATATAAAAACATTATTGCTCTACTGTAAAACCTTGAGATATAAAGACATTATTGCTCTACTGTAAAACTTTGAGATATTAAGATTTTATTGTTCTACTGTAAAACCTTAACATATTACAACATGTTGTAGGTAGGACAATGTTAGATTTAGCTTGTTATAAAGGTCACCATGAGTGTGTAGAAACACTTCTATTACAAGGGGCCACAATTCTAGTCCAAGACGGTCAGACACGGAGAACACCTCTACATGCAGCAGGTAATGTACCTTTTCACTAATCTAGTTACAACATTAGATAATTATGCATAGAGTTTTTATGAAATATAAATTGTATTTTTAAGTAAGAAAAGAGATATAAGAGTAAACCAACCCAAAATTTACTTGATACTACATGATGTGCAGGCATTAAAATTGTATTACAAGTAAAATACACATTATACATCCAGTGATCTATATAAACATAAAATATTAAAATACAGTGTAATCCTGATGTTGATTCTAATGATTGTGTTTTAGCATTAAATGGTCATACAGAATGTCTGAGATTATTACTAGAGACTGCTGATGACAATAACATAGTAGATTGTACAGATTCCTTTGAAAGGTAACATTATATTCTAACTTAACTTCAACAAGGAAACAAAAGACTGATATTTTAAAAGTAAGGTTAAATGTGCTTGGTTCTATGGGAAGCAAGCTAAGAAAAACTCATCATGTTGAACACTGCTGCTCAAGAAAACAAAAAACATCACAAAACAACAGTTGTTTTAACATAATTTTTATACATAAGCTAAAAAGTCGAAGGGGACTTTAGGTTTGCACTCTGTCTGTCTGTCTGTCTATCCATCCGTCAGTCTAGCAAATCAGTTTTCCACACTTTTTTTCTTCATGCTTGAAGATATTGATTTGTTATCATGACAAGTTACAGATCAAGTTCGAATTATGTTCCGGTCTGATGATTTTGTGCAGAGTTATGGTCCTTGGACAGAAAATTCACTCAAATAATCAGTTTTTCCACACTTTTTTTCGTCATGCTTGAAGATATTGATTTGATAATTGGTATATAGTTTTATCATGACAAGTTACAGATCAAGTTCGAATTTTGTTCCGGTCTGATGATTTTGTGCAGAGTTATGGTCCTAGGACTTAGAAAATTTACTTAAATAATCAGTTTTCCACACTTTTTATCCTCATGCTTGAGGATATTAACTTGATATTTGTTATATAGTTTACACCATGACAAGTTATAGATCGAGTTAGCATTTTGTTCCAGTACAATGAATTTTTAACCGGTAGGGGACTATGTATTGCTATGCAATGCTCTCAGAGTGCTTGTTATATACAGTAATGTGTTTTAATTGTTATACAGTAATTTATATTAATAATTTTCAAGATTTTCGTATTCACAGGATTGTTTACTTCTGTATGAAAAGAATGTTTACCTGGACCTGTGGTTACCATTGTAATTTTTATTTTCAGGACTCCATTGATGCATGCAGTATCAAATGGTCATGTAGATACAGTTCTCTACCTCATAGCAAACGGTGCCATAGTTAACAATCGTGATATACAGGGTCGTACAGCACTTCATCGAGGGGTAAAATAGTACATTTTGACTTGACAAACAAAATTAACATATAATTTTATCATTTTCCTCTTAGAATATAAAGAAATTAAAAGAACAACAGGTTATTGGAGTGAAATGTATAATGAGTTTATTAATTTCCTATAAAAACAAATTCCTATCTTACAAACTTGTATTTTTCTGATGGCTATAATAAGTTACAGGACTATGCCTGTTTTACTATATATGTTAAAAGGAAGAAACAGAACAGTCTATGAAAAAAACCTGATATTATGATATACAGCAATTTCTAACACTGGAAATTAAGTCATTTTGGCAAGTCTTATTTTTATCAAGCCTGCGACTTTTGTCGCAGAAAGCTTGACATAGGGATAGTGATCCGATGGCGGTGTCGGCGTTAACTAACTTCTTAAAAGCTTTATATGTTAGAAGGTGGAAGACCTGGATGCTTCATACCTTGTATATAGATGCCTTATGTTAAGAAGTTTCCGTCTGTCACATGTCCATTGTCCTTGACCTCATTTTCATGGTTCAGTGACTACCTGGAAAAAAAGTTCAGATTTTTTGTAATGTTTATTTCTCTCTTATTATGAGTAATAGGATAACTATATTTGGTATGTGCGTACCTTGCAAGGTCCTCATGCCCGTCAGACAGTTTTCACTTGACCTCTACCTCATTTCATGGATCAGTGAACAAGGTTAAGTTTTGTTGGTCAAGTCCATATCTCAGATACTATAAGCAATAGGTCTAGTATTTCTGGTGTATGGAAGGATTGTAAGGTGTAAATGTCCAACTGGCAGGTGTCATCTGACCTTGACCTCATTTTCATGGTTCAGTGGTTATAGTAGAGTTTTTGTGTTTTGGTCTGTTTTTCTTATACTGTATGCAATAGGTCAACTATATTTAATGTGTGGAAATATTTTATGATGTACATGTTAGTCTCACAGGTTTTATTTGACCTTGACCTCATTTTCATGGTTCAGTGGTTATAGTAGAGTTTTTGTGTTTTGGTCTGTTTTTCTTATACTGTATGCAATAGGTCAACTATATTTAGTGTATGGAAATATTTTATGATGTACATGTCAGTCTCACAGGTTTTATTTGACCTTGACCTCATTTTCAAGATTCATTGCTCAGTGTCCAGTTTTTTGTGTTGGACTGTTTTTCTTAAACTATAAGCAATAGGTCAACTATATTTGTTGTATGGAAGGATTGTCTGGCATGGTTCATCTGACTTTGACCTCATTTTCATGGTTCATTGGTCAATGTTTAGTTATTTGGTTAAGTCTGTTTCTTAGAAACTATAAGCAATAGGTCAACTTTATTAAGTGTATTGAATGATTGTAAGGTGTACATGTATTTCCGGTTTAGTTTATCTGACCTTGACCTCATTTTCTTGGATAATGTTAAGTTTATGTGATACTTGTAGTAAAGCTTTATATTGAGGACTATCAACATAAAATTAATGGTCAGTAAAGCAGGTGAGACATTTCAGCGTGTGCACTCTTGTTTATGGAATCTGTGATTTATGAGGTAATACTAGTTTTGACATAATTTTAAAAGAAGAAATAATTTGTATGTAAACTATAAAAGTTTTTAATATGTTACAAAATACACTTGTCATTACTATGTTAAAAGGATCTCTAATGCCTTTCACCATAACTGTATTCAATTGCTATTGTATGTTTGACAGGCTGCCAATGGCCACGAAGAATGTGTGGATGCTATGCTACACAATGGTGCCGATATCTCTATACAGGATAGTCTTGGTCGGACATCACTTCACTTGGCAGCAGCATGTGGACAAGTAGCCATTCTAGGGGCTTTACTTCTAGTAAGTTATCACACTCATACCAATCATAATCAAATAAATATAGGTAAACATTTACAATTTACATACAGCCTTCAAAATTACATTTGTCTAATTGTGATTTTTCAATCAGTCTTCTTCATATTCCTTAGTCTTCTTTTACAGGTCATTTTGATATTTAAAACATAATTTGAACTATGTATCAGGAATTGCTTTTCACAATTGTCCATGAATCATCAATCCAAATTATAAATACAAATTAGATAACATACAGCAATCAATAAACAAACAAACTGACCAATAGCAAGAATTGAAAAGTACATATAAGAAAGTTATCTAAAGAATAATTACACCATATAACTGTAGAAATGTCAGAGCATTTATAAGAGGCTGATTTGATCTTGTTTGTTGTTTTAGATGCGTCTCCTATGGCATTATATGTTTTTATGTATTTTAGACTGGTCCATTACCTTCTATAGAAGACAGAAGAGGGTATTGTCCTTTACATTTAGCTTGTTATAATGGTAAGATAAATCACTCTATTGACAGTGAAGAATCTCCGGGAACTCAATAAGAACAAATAAATTCAAACAGAGCAAACAATTGTACAGCAAGTTTTTTTTAAATGTTGCATCTCATATTCCTATTTTTTTTTCATTTTATAAATAGAATATTCTTTAAGTTGCACAATTTGTTATACAAAATATGGACTCTTAACTTCTTGCAAAAAGCCCAAGAAGACTAGTAGCTAAATTATTCTGCTTTTTTATAAACAAGGGATTTTTTAATAGGTTGTAAGTTGACATTAATGTATGTAAATTTTATCAATGTTTCTTTTACAATACTTATAATGAAACACAATATTTCTTTCCAGGTCATGATGGCTGTGTAGAAGTTTTATTAGAATATGAACAACATAAAGTTTTTTCAGGGAATCTTTTCTCACCTTTACATTGTGCTGTGTAAGTATAGTGAAATACCGTCAATGCTTTTCAAACATAGTATTACATAAAACACATGAAATGCGCAATTGAACATATTTTACATTTGAAGATTTTTTTTGATAATTTGGGAAATATCCAATTTGAACCATGTTCAATTGCCCAATACAAATTCATTATCTGATACTTGTGTTAATTATAAATTATATATAAGTCAAGTCACTTCTCAAACAATGTAACAATCGTCTTGCTAATCTACGAAATAGATCAAACTTATATTGTATCAGGACACAAAAACATGAAGATCACAAGAGTAGTAAAGTTGAAGTACCTCTGTAAAACTTGCATCATCAACTTTGATGTGTTGTGGGAATAAATCTTTCTTTTTTTTAAGGAATGACAGTTTGTATTTGTATTTTTTCCAGGATTAATGGAAATGATTCTTGTACAGAAATATTGATAGAAACTTTAGGTGATAGTATTGTAAATTGTACAGACACGAAAGGGAGGTAAGCAAGACTGTATATAATGGTAATGGAAATTAACTGGTTAATGTCAACAGTGGTAAATGATTTACTATGATCAAAACATGACCCCAATTGAATTTTAAGACATCAAAAGTCAAAATCAGATCTGAATATTTTTGTGAATTTCTTGTCATTTACTTCATGTAGTATATGTTAAAGTAAAGCTTGAATCTCTTAAGATTTGAGAATAAACTCAATTCAGTTTAAAAGTAAGGAATAAAGGTGATAGAATTGTGTAGTAGAGAATGATTCAAGGCTTGTCATTGTGATTAGTTTAAATTGTAATGATTATTATTTCTATTTGTTACAGAAACCCTTTACATGCAGCAGCTTTAAGTGTCCAATGTGAATCTATTATTTCTATTTGTTACAGAAGCCCTTTACATGCAGCAGCTTTTAGTGACCAATATGAATCTATTATTTCTATTTGTTACAGAAGCCCTTTACATGCAGCAGCTTTAAGTGTCCAATGTGAATCTATTATTTCTATTGGTTACAGAAGCCCTTTACATGCAGCAGCTTTTAGTGTCCAATGTGAATCTATTATTTCTATTTGTTACAGAAGCCCTTTACATGCAGCAGCTTTTAGTGACCAATGTGAATCTATGCAGTTACTTCTGACTCATGGAGCGTCAGTGAATTACTGTGATAAAACTGGTAAATCTCCAGTCATGTTGGCAGCAGCCAATGGCCATGCTGCTGCAGTAGAGTTATTACTGGAGAATGGAGCAGATCTTTCCTTTGTTGACTGTGACAAAAACTCAGCATTACATTTTGCTTGTGCTCATGTAAGTTTTTACCAATGTTTAAGGTCTCCAAAAAGCTCTGAAAACATCTCATTTGCTTCTAAAGAAATTTGTTGTTAACGAATACATTTGAATCGTAGGCTCCATGTAGATATAAACATTACAGCTTGTTACCTCCTGAACAAATACATTTGAATCATAGGCTCCATGTAGATATAAATATTACAGCTTGTTATCTCCTGAACAAATACATTTGAATCATAGGCTCCATGTAGATATAAATATTACAGCTTGTTATCTCCTGAATGAATACATTTGAATCATAGGCTCCATGTAGATATTGTTATTACAGCTTGTTATCTCCTGAACGAATACATTTGAATCATAGGCTCCATGTACATGTAGATATAAATATTACAGATTGTTATATCTTGAATGAATACATTTGAATCATAGGCTCCATGTAGATATAAATATTACAGATTGTTATCTCTTGAATGAATACATTTGAATCATAGGCTCCATGTAGATATAAATATTACAGCTTGTTATCTCCTGAACGAATACTTTTGAATCATAGGCTCCATGTAGATATAAATAGTACAGCTTGTTATCTCCTGAACGAATACATTTGAATCATAGGCTCCATGTAGATATAAATATTACAGCTTGTTATCTCCTTAACGAATACATTTGAATTGTAGGCTCCATGTAGATATAATATTACAGCTTGTTATCTCCTTAAACGAATACATTTGAATCGTATATTACAGCTTGTTATCTCGTTGAACGAATACATTTGAATCGTAGGCTCCATGTAGATATGATATTACAGCTTGTCTTCCGGAACAAATACATTTGAATCGTAGGCTCCATGTAGATATAATTTTACAGCTTGTTATCTCCGGAATGAATATATTTGAATCGTAGGCTCCGTGTAGATATAATTTTACAGCTTGTTATCTTCCTGAACGAATACATTTGAATCATAGGCTCCATGTAGATATAAATATTAAAGCATGTTACAGTGTTCTAGAATTCCCATTTCCCGTCACCCGTGGCAAGTTGATTTAGGTCACGGGAAAGTGGAAATTCAAACCTTTGTTGTCCGTGGGCAAGTAAAATTAAATAACAGAAACTTCCTATTCATGCAGATACCGGTCGATGAAACAATTGTATTCTTTTATTTCAATCAAAGTCTCAAAGCAAGATCGTTGTTGGTGTAAATCATGCAGGGGTTTTTAAGTCTAGGGGAGAGAAACGTGCACACATGTTTCACGATCACCGTCATAAATACGCTTGCTAGCTGAGCAAGGGAAATCTGCGATTTCAAGTATCCATCTGGTCTAGACCCAACAAACTAATAACTGGAATGCAAACGATAACAGATTTAATATCCAGATCTCAAAGTCGTGATTTTTGCTTGTAATGTTATCACCTGAACATACAAAATATCAACACAACTTTTGTCATATTTGTTTAAAAATTTATTGCCCCTTGTCACATGTGCCATGGGTGAACAAAAGAGTGATAGCCTTCGCTCATTTGTTTGTCTGTTTGTCCAGAAAATACTATTACTCAGGGACCGTTTCTCTATATGGTAGATGTATTGTATGTCAGCTTGTAGTTAACTTTGATATCCCTTCATTTTGAAGTGATAATTCTTGTGGGAGTTGTAGATGATGTAATTTGTGTAGCCACTCTTCAGACAGATCTGCTTCAGTTACACACACCAGCAAGGTACCATGGCATTGCAATCTTGTTTTGCATTGCTAAAGTCAGATGTTTTTATACTTTTCAGGAACATGAAAATGTGGCATTACTGTTACTAGATAAAATTGATGATTCGGGTACAATCAATTTACCTAATGCTGAACAGAAAACGTAAGTTGTAATGACTTCCTTTACATTCCAATGGTATTAAAGTATATGATTAGGTCAAATTTAACTCATTTATTGCTTACATTTTTATACGACCGCAAAAAATTTAAGTATAATGCTATCACATCGTCATCGGCTTGGTCCGAAGACATTTGGTTTCCGGACAATTACTTTAAGTGTATGGATCTCTATGAAATTTAATCAGAAGGTTCAATACCACAAAAGGAAGGTTGGGATTGTTTTTTGGGGTGATGGTCCCAACCGTTGAGGAATTAGGGGCCAAAAAGGGGCCCAAAACAAGCATTTTTCTAGTTTCAGGACAATAACTTGTGTATAAGTATTTTGATTGCTCTGAAATTGTACCACAGTTGAACGGCAAATGCCTGAATCTGACAGATAGAGGTCAATTTGTCGACAAAACAAGTACCCGTATGTAAAATGTTTACGCCCACAAACAGCGCCACCTATAATTTTTTCTACGGCGTCTTTGAGAACGATGTTCCGTTCTGTAGTAAATTAAAACATTAAATTAACTAAAACATAGAAAAGTAAGTGTAAAAAACTAATTAAAAGATATATTTGCACATGACTGGTTATGCATGATACGCTGGCAATGTGCGCAATGTCCTTTAATCCAAGATTCAAAATTAGTTTGTTTCCTATGTCAAAATGGCGGATTCCAATGTTTACATTTTTCCATCGATTTGAGAGCTGACACAAATTCGTATCCAATCATTAATTTGCATATTATGTACTGTGTAGTGTAGCTTATCCAATGGGATTTACTGTTATAAAGTGGCTATACGTTACCATCCATCGTTACAAAAGTGCCATGTGTTTTGTGTGTATAGCTCAGGAATGATGTGTATTCAATATTTACGGTAAATAATCAATGTTATGTTCATTATATTTCCATGCATACACAAGTCATAACAGCAAATGCATTTTTTATAGAACTTATTAGGTAAACAGACATGTTTAATTGTCTGCTTTAGCAAAAATTCGTGTAAATAAACCCGATGGGTCGTTTTGAATATTCAAGCACAGCAGACAAACACGTGGTAGATTATTGATGTTTGTTTACCTAAATTGCACGCTGTTGTTACTAAATACTTAGAAATAACCATTATCGTGTTATTATTGTTTAACAGCAGATAAAATTAATTTTACAATTGCATTTAACTACTTTCAAGAGTTATATAATACACCTTGCCTAAGAAATAGGTCTAGCTAGGTCCAGGGACCTCCTTTACTAGGTCCTTAAAAAAAGAGGCTGTAATAATGTACATGATGTAAATTACCATATTTACATTCCAGCATTTTTTTGCATTTGATATATTTCATATACATGTACATGTATGTACATAGAGAACAATAGAGTAAATGAACATACATTGGTTTAATTCCCACCTAAGGTATTAATTTTAATACTCATTAGAGGTTGGAGCAAATAGGGCAGATTGCAATTGACCATAATGTAGTGTCTAAAAATGCTGATTGATGTGGCCAAGTCCTCAACATCCTTTTTTCTAAGTATACAGCAGCTCCTTTGAGGATTAGTAAGGGAACACTTCACATATAGTCCAGTGGCTAAGTCCTGTCTTTTTTGTCTCTATTATTTCCTTATTTATATTATTATATTTCTTATATTCTCTTGTACATGTAGTAAGCTAAAGAGCTATCATTACTCTTTTTCCTCATCTGCCTGATAACAATGAAATGTATTCATTGTTGATGTCTGTAAAGTGACTTATAATTTAACTGCTAACAGACATTTGGACTCTGGTGGATAGTTTCTATACTGTTATCTCATTGGCAATCATACCACATCTCTTTATTTTAGTACAGGTTAAGTATTTAAAGTAAGTGACTAACAAACATTAAATCATTTGAAAGAAAAATTCTGCAATGATTTTAGTTTACATATATCAACAATATATTTTGGTTGTATAAATTGTGTCATTATGTTTATAATGACCACTGTAATTGTGAACTGCTATGACTGTCTTGTACAAAATATATTTGAATAAGTTCCCTAATGAATAGTATATAGATGTTTAAAAAAACAAATGTATGTACTAGTTCCAGATCTATCAATTCAAAAATAATTGATGTTTTTTTTAATTAATTGAATAATAACAACTTATTGCAATAATCATGATAATCATGATATTAAAATACAAACTAGCATTCTTATATGTGATACATATATAACTTAATGCAGCTTATTCTGAAATTGTAAGGTATGTCATAAAAAAGAGATTTTTTGTTAAAGTTACCAAAATTGTCTGTATTTCAACCACATTTAGGCCTAGGAGCCTTAAATTTTTAAGTGTAGAGGTTGACAAGCTAAGTCATGACTGTAAATTCAGATATTATCATGAGGTTTTTATTAAAGTAAATAATGCGATTAAATTGATTATCTCAATAAAAAGAACTCTCATTCTGATTTGATACTATGAGATTTTTTCTGATATCAGAAAAATAAATATCTCATTGTTGTCCATTCTTCAAAGAATTTCTGAACATACTGTACATGTATTTAAGTCAGCTTTGTTTTTGTCTGAGACTACTATAACATGGGAAGTGACCAATCTCTATGTTAATTGTTATAGTAGTCTCAGGTTTTTGTTTTGTAGTTCAATTGACTATGCATTTTAGAGCAGTTAAATATGAATTTGGATTAAATTTGAAGTTGATTCAGTATATTTTATGACATAATAACACTCTTTTATTTAAACAAAGCATTTTCAGGCTTTATTTACAGACCAGCTTAGCTAATCATTCATTATTCAATCAATAATTTAATTAAAGGACTCAACAGTTGTTTGTAGGACTTATGAATTCAAATATAAGGGAAAAAAAATCAAAACTTGAAGTAATACATGTAATAGGTATTATGAGAACTGCATGATATCAGATTGCAATACAGCTTTTTGTTCAGTTTTCTTTGTGTTGATTATAATGTTTTAAATCCCTTTCTGGCTTTTTGGATGTTCAGATTTTTTCTCTTGATTAAGAGGAGCAACGGAACTTGTACATCTTATATAGTTTCTTATCTCGGGGGTGGATCAAGCCAATTTTCAAAGAGGAGGCGGGCATGTATTGTCTACATTTTCTTTTTTTCCATATTGTATTTTAATGTAAAGCAAAGTTAAATTCTATTGTAACACAAGTTCTGCTGACAAATGGCTGATAAACCCCTCTTGTATGTAATTATTTGGCATGAAATGAAATATGTTTTTTCTGTATATGGAAATTAGGAATAATCCACCCTCTCTTTATAAAAGACCTGGATCTGCTTAAAAGTTCTTGCTATTCTCAGAATTTTCCATTGTTACATCAGGAATAAAGGCTACCAATAATCATGCTTGACGATCATTGAGGTCACACATAAAGAACCCATCTCTTTGTAGATCATAGTAGAAAAACAAAGAAACAATGTAGTTGGTAACATAAATGTATTTAAAAATATCAAGAGAAACATTCCCATACAGAATCTCTGTCATGACTCAATAAGTTATTTTTCCACTCTTAACAGTGAAATCTTAAATATGTAAATTGATCGGCAAGCCTCGCATCTTGAAAAATAAAATGTCTGTAGGAAAGAACTATTGTTTCACAATTGATGCTGTGTTAGAATTTATAATATCACTTTTTTTTTCCCCATATGATCAGCATAAAAAGTGACAAGTTCTTCAGTCTAAATAACTTTGTTAAATCTCATTTCTGATGGAACATTTTCAGTGCACCAGATTAACAACTTTCTATGTTAGATACTTATTTAAATATAAAAATTCAAGTCTAATTTTAGAGTGAAATTTTAATATATCTAAACAAACTGTTCTAAACAACCAACATGTACAAACACTGAGTTTATTTTCATATCCTTTCTAAGAATATTGATACAAAGAAAGTAAAACAAAGACTTGTATCATTCCATCTACCTAAAGGGTGTTTGAGAATATACAAATAAGTCCAAGTTTCAGAGAAAAGTCAGTTATCTATAATTTTCTTCTTTGGAAGTTTTCAAAAACCTGTTTTATGGTACTTGAAAAAATGCCATATTCAAAGATTCCATGACTATTTTAATGTTACAAGAGTAGAGGAACATTAAATATTGAAGTTTATTAAAAAAAGTGTCGAAATATAACTACAATCATTAATTTTACTCGAATTTACTGTTGTGAACTTGCAGTTTCCTACGACGCGTGTACGGAGTTATCTCCCGTTGATCGCCGCTTCGCCACGAATAAGCTGACACAATTGCGTATCCGGGGAATTTATGATCTATAATTAATATATAAGATCCAGAAAATGGTTTTACTTCATATTTTATACCCCTCCATACGTTACCAAACCCATTTAAGAAATGATTTGGGATTTTCCGTAGACCTACGCAAATTTTCCAAAAAAAATTTCAACTTCCATCGTTGTTTTAGAATACTTTTATAACACCTTTCATAAATAAGTATACATAATAATGAAGCTTATTCACTCAAGATTTGGACCCTACAAGTTTTATTCATGTACGAGTTACAATTAGACGATACGAGGTAAAAAACCAAGAGGTGTACACGTTCACAAGAAAACGGTAAACTCTGACCTTTTATCACGTGACCAATGTCTTGAACTTAGACGCCATTAAATCGTTTGCCGTTCAACTGCCAAAAGGTTCAATACCACAAGTAGAAGGTTGGGATTCATTTTGGGGGTAATTGCCCAAACTGTTCAGGAATTAGGGGCCAAAACAAGCAATTTTCTAGTTTTCAGACAATAACTTGTGTTTAAGTGTAAGGATGTCTGTTAAGTTGTACCATATTTTACAAAAAGAAAATTTCTTCAAATATTTTTTTTTTTTTCCATTTTCAAAATATTTAACTGATTGAATTTATCAGTACTGGACTTTTTATATTGTTCCCATTATAAAGAAAATAAATTCATGAATAGCTTGAAAATGTGAATTTATATATGAAATGTTTATTTTCAGTCCTCTACATTTAGCCTGTAAATATGGATTAGTCTCTATAGTACAAGATCTGATATCCAAAGGAGGAAATGTTCTCGCTGTTGATGAAAATGGTAAGATAAGCATTGAATTGTAATCTTTTTTGATTTACCACATTTTAGTAATTTAACTCATTGATTGTTGAGCAAAATCACATACAGGGTGGAACCAAATTTAAAAAATTATATTATGAAGTGTCCTTTTGATTGTGGCGTTAAACACCATCGATGGATCAATTAATCTTCCCAGTTACAAGTAGGAATCTGGAGTGTCATTGTCTCCAGAGCATCTCAAACAGACAAGAGGCCACTCAACTATGTTTTATCCATTATAAAATCATATGGTCAACAGACTCTATGAAACTGACCATCCCACTGAACAATTATGCTTGCATTGTGATACTATGATAAGTTAATATAATGTGTATATTTGTTGGTATCAACTTTAACCATTGCTTGATAGAAACACTCTAGAAATATAGATTTAAAAACTAAACAAAGAATCAGAGACAACCATGGGTGGCAAATTAAACCTATACTTGATAGAAACACACTAGAAATATAGATTTAAAAACTAAACAAAGAATCAGAGACAATCAGGGTTAGCAAATCAAACCTATACTTGATAGAAATATACTAGAATTATATATATATATATACATTTATTCACACAACTAAGAGTTTGTGATTTGGTCAGGGGAGGCTACTTTTCACTAATTTGGTCCATTCAGGGGCAACATTACTGCAAATCAAGGTGAAGTATACATTAATTAGTGGTATTTCAGATTTTTATATGAGTTTTGTATGTTTATAGAAATTGTCCAACTGAATCAACTAAATGTGTTGTATACACATAATTTTTATATGATTTGCATATTAGGAAATGCGTTTATATGATTGGTCAAGAGGGCTTCTGGTAGTTTCTCTTGAAGTTATTTATTTTTTCGATAGACGACGTTGATGGAACTACTCTTTGCAACCAATGTAAACAAGTTGGTGGTGATGATAACATAAACCAGCTCGACATTAAAAATATTTATTTTCACTTTGCATTCATCGTTGCATTACATATTAAATAAACACAAAACATTCATTTGAATAAGATATTTTTGTAGTTTATTTTTTATCAGAAAGCAAATTTCATGGAATACATTTTGTTGCGTTAACCAAAATATATATTCATGCACCAGGCCAATTCAATGACACAAATATACAATTTATGCTTGATAGAGGTTAAGGGTGGGGAAATTAAATTAATTTTCTCCAATTTTAAAGAATTAGAGCATAGTTACATTCTTAAAGTATTGTACTTAAAAAATGTAACTATGCTCACTGGACCAAGTCACTTACAAACATATAAAAGTCCATCAGACTTTTATTTGTTTGTGAGTGATTTGATCCAGTTTATACACCAATAAATTCCTTTAGAAAGGCATTTAATCCTATAATAATTCTCTTTCATGAAAATTTAAGCAAAATTAACTATCTATTTAAATGTATATTTGCCATAAATTATTCTGGATTAAGACTAATGGAACAGTTATATGTAAATGATATACTGTATACTGGTAATCAAGGTTAATTCAAAAACACAACTGTAAATGAAAATCTTAAACCACGAGCGAAAATAATTCAAAATTATGAAATATTAAATTTTCCACTTTCTTGAGATTTTCTGTCTAAATGAATGAAATCTGACTTTGAATGATTGTATACTTAAAGAATGTAACTATGCTCATGCTGATCTCTAAATTGATATGATTGCTGTGTGTGCATGATATTCTCTTTCAGTGTTTTGGCATGTGGAATTTTATGGTAGACTAATTCATTTTTTATTTCAAAGATTTTTTGTCTTTTTTTTCAGCTCTCTACATTTCAGAGAGAATATATAGTCATTCTAATGTGTACTTATAAAATGATAGTTAATTGAACTAATCTTAAGTAGGACTCTGAAGAATTCAAACTACTATAATTGTTGTTTTATTGCTTTTGAATGAGACTGACATGCGTATTTGCACACTGCCTGAAAAAAGCAACATATCTTATTGGCAGAGAGTAGTCAGCATGGCAGACAATTTTATAAGATGATACGGCATCAGCTACATGTAAACATCAGCACTGTATGATAGAAAGAAATACACAGTAACTTTTTCTTTCCAGGCCATTCCCCTGCTCTGGCATGTGCCCCGACCAATCGAGTAGCTGAGTGTCTAGCTATTGTATTAGCACATATGCCATTCTCACAACCACCTAACAATACCTTCCAAAGAAGAAACCGATCTGAAAGCTCTCCATCAGCACCATTTGGTGAGATTTCAATTACTGGTCAGACCCAGCAATTTCCTACTGTTTTATTTTAGAAACTTTTTTGAGGAAATTTTACTTTATTGCAATTTTATAATTTTTTTGAATGGGCCTGATCAGTAAAGAAATGTAACATATTCTAAACGCTTATTGTAAAAATATACATATGTTTTTGTAAATAATTTTTAAAAAGCATGAATTCTATGTATATAGAGCATGAAAGTATAAAAATTCATTCTTTATGAATATTTGTGTATTTTTTATGAAGTTTATTTATTTTTTCAAACTAAATTGTGTATAATTAAAGTCTTAGCATGGAAATCAAATCATTTTCTTTCTTTCAATTCTAGAATAGTATATTATTTTGATAGCTGAGAGTTTCTGCCATTTTGTAACAAAAACTTCAATCTTGAAACTGTATATTTTAGGTGCTACAAGAACATTAGACAACCCAGGAAGTCCAGCTGGAATCGGTAGTCCTGCTGGAAGTGTACAAGACGTTAAAGAACATTCAGGGTCTTATCAAAGTTCTGACTCAGAATTCTATTGATAATTATTTTATTTAGGATAATATCATGACTATCATGGACAGTTATCACCTGCCAAAAGTCAAATGGAAGTATTTTAAATGAATGAGATAATATCACATGGTTCAGTTTCAAAAAGATTTCCGAGCTTCGGATAGAACTAACAGTCTCACTAAGAAGGAGTCGTACTGTTGCCAAAGAATTGCTCATCATTATTAAAAATAAAACAGAAGAATGATATAAAGTGTCAGAAGCAAAAGGTTTAATTAGACGTTTTAATAAACGCTCATTATTTCATTTAGATATTACTTTTCATTTATTCTCTGACATCGACTCACTAATCTATTTATAGTAATTTGAGAGCTGTTTGTGTTCTTTGTGTAATATTTTTAAACTAGAAAATTAGGAGGACTATTAAAATATTTGAATATACACTTATTAACAAATTAGGTTTTACAGTTTATATTATACAAATATTATTTATTTTATAATTTATTAAACCGAGGCTTTTGTTTATGAAAACATGACTTATACATTTAGTACATTTTACAATCAGTGTTACACAGGAATATTTTTGAAAGTGCTGTATTTTATGCTCCTTAAAAACGTGATGGGAGCTTAAGGTTTCAGGATGGTTACATAAGTTTGTATTGCAGAAAGATCTTATAATTTGAAACACAGCTACCTACCATGTAATGTTGTTCATTTGTATTTTCTCTGTTGACACAAGTCTAGTCCTGAAATGGTCTTATATTAGTCTCAAAATTGTAAAAATGGTTTCATATAGTAAAATTATGTTACTATGTCTCGCCAGTATGAAAATGTAGTTCAAATTCAATTTTCAACATTATTGCATACACAGTTTCTGAGTTTTGCTTTCTGCTATTTTAAAAACCAGCACATGATCAAAAGTCTAAATGTTGTGATGCTCCTTGAAACTATGAATTATGTTAAGGGGAAATTGCCTTGTAAGCTCTATCACCTTTTATTCCTTGACTGATTCATACCCCCATACTGGGAAAGTCACCAACATGGGACCTTAGTGTTACTGTTTTATGAAATTCTTTTGAAATTTGTATATGGCAACATCTGCATCAAGTTGTAAATCAGTGCCATCAAAAAGAAATTATGGGAATTATGCCTTATGAACATATGAATAAATATATATGTGAAAATTGTTTTCTAAGTGCTCTCACTCTTGCAGTTGTTGACAGATTTTAAGATCATCAATATCTTGTTTGAGTTTCAATGAAGTGCTGATCTAAAAAGTTATTGGTAGTTATCCTGTATAATTACAAGTCCTTTCACTTAATTCTTGATGGATTTCTATGAAGTAGATATGCAAGGTTTATTTCAACAGCTTTTGAGTTGGGAAATTAATGCTGTTTGTAAAATGTTTTGTGGGAAGAATTGCTCTTGGAAAATATATGAACTATGTGACAACAGTGCTCTCATGTTTATAACATTAAGATGATCTTCCCCTTTAATCTGTTTTTCAGCAGAGGGAGACATTGAAACATAGCTCTTATATTTGTGTAATCGTCCAAACTTACAGCCTATCTCCTCTTGATTTAGAGTTTAAGTTGCAGTGAACAGTAATATCCTTTTGTCAAACAGAATTGCCTGAAAGATAAATTTTAAGAAACCCATTTTTGACTTAAAAATGTATGCTCATTTTCCATTGCATGATTGGACTATAGATACAGGCTTACTGGTAGTGGCTAACCAGACTGAAGCAAAATATTTCCTTCATATAAAACACAATATGTTTTCTCATTCAAATCCTCTAACATTGTCAACATAGCATTGCTTTATTGAACAAAATATTTGTGTGATGAAATTTTTTTATGATTTGAGATATAGTGGTAAATAGGAGTTAGTTGAAATTTGAGAATTATGTTTTAGGGAATCATAATCCCTCAGATCTCTTAATGTCAATGTAAGGATGTATTTTATCATGATATTTGTTATTTGTAGATCACTTATTTATTTTGTCCTCCATTTATTGACAAAACTTAATACAATGAATCAATTTTCTGTATTGTACTTATTCAGGGTTTACAAAAAGGAAGGCACTTGGTTGGATACAGATGTATTTAGGACATTTTATATTTTGCATTGATTCAAAATTGTTGAAGTGTCTTCCTTTTTGTGCCATACAAACTGTTCATGTTCCATTGTACAGACACATATCATCCCCAGAGTGCCTATTCTTTTGTTTCTGTAGTAGCTCAATAGTTATTTTGTCTGTCTGTTTTACTAGAAACCACTTTGTTATTTCTTTGATATAGTCCAGAAAGTTAGTTCTGTAAGGTGTGTACATCTATAACAATCAATCAATCATTTCACAGAATTTAGAATAAAATTCTTTATTAAATAAATCTGTTTAAAGATATTAGTCTGGATTGTTCATTTTTGACAAAAAAGCTGAAATCAAATGTTATTAAATGAAGGAAGAAAAAAATGGAAGAACGTAATAGAAAATATTTCTTTTTTTAAATTTAACTTTTAAACACCTTATTGCTACTTTACATTACATCACAGCCATACCCATAACAGTTTGACCTCACAAGAGAAAATCTCTGATGCCTCAGAGCAAAATTGATCATTGTATAATGGCAATAAGGTAAAGATGATGAAACATCCTAACTTTTATTTCACACAAATGTGGGCTATTACCTTCATCACATCAGTTGTTATTGTGTCACCTTTATATGTTTTCTATAAAAAAAGATATTTTGTTTTTCTACCTCTTGGCAAGTTGGAAATAAATTTTGTTGCTTATGTCCTTGAACTGTTAATATTTGAAGTTATGCCAGATGTATCCACTAACCAACCAGTCAACTCACATTTTTGTCATTACAAATGATGGGATATAGGAGTAATTCAGTTTGTCAGACACTGGTATTGGAATTGGTCATTTGATTATCCTTTCTCAGAACAATGTTTGATGACCCCTTGGTGATGACCCCTGACATCCAATCAATAATCAGAATTTCTGTCATTAATTTGTTTTAGATTTGATTAGATATTTGGTTTTGATCATTTGAACTTGTTTAAAATTAACTGGCCCTGTCTGACATCTAGTACGGTTACCATCATGGATATAGTATTACAAATTGAATCCTTTACTAAGACATTCTCTATAATAACAATGCTCATTCAAAACATGTGGAGTTATGAATGTATATGTCGTATGAACATAATTTCTAGTTTCTTGTTTTTTTTGAAAATCAAATGATCATGTACCAGTGTGTCAATCTTTTAGAAAGTATAATATTTATAATATAAATTTATTATGTTTATTTATATATAGATTCATTAGTGCTTGTTATCTTGTAGAAAAGTTTCATATCTGTCTCGGGACTACTGTAATGTTGAACTTCAGTATTTAAAGAACAAAAAAGTTTGCTTAAATTGATAACAGTTACATCAGTTTTATAATTATTCCAGAATTTGTTCTAACATAAGAGGTAATTTAAGTTTCTAAGTTCCTATGAGAGTTTTTACCTTTGACTATTCTAATATTTTGTGATGAATTAAGTAAATAAATTTAAATTGAGAGTGAATGATGTTAGGAGTCTAGGGGCTTGTCCTGTATTATAGGTATAAATCATATGGACCTGGGTAAATGGTTTCCTTTGTGCCAAAACACCTTATCTCTCAAAACCTTGTTATATTATTGTCCCCTAGAACTGTATCCCTGTTATGTTTTTGTTTGTGCACATGTGGTACAAGGAACTTTTCTGTGATTAATTTATGCTTGTGCTAGATTTATGTAACCTTAGAAACCATCATTGTTTGGAAGGACAACAAGTTTTCTTATAACAAATCTAATCATCTTTCGTTATTAGTTTTTGCTTAAATTCAGAAGAAAAATTTTGTTTGATGTCGGGTACAAACCCTAAAAATAAAAAAAAATAAAAAGTGAAATATTAAACTGAAAAGTAAAGAATCTCATTAATTTTATTGTAGGCTGAACTTGCCAATGTAATTTCTTTGATGATTTCTAAGGAAACAGGTTTGTTATTATAGCTGATCATGTTAACTGTATATATGTATATTGTTACTACTAATAGATAGGGACCTAGAATATATTAACTTGTTGTGTATGTAATTAAGTTTAATATGGTTAAAACACAAACCACCATAGATGTTTGTTTCTCATAACATTTCTAGACTTGATATATTTGCAAAATGTAATACAGAAGAATAAAACATTTTTGAAAGAAATTGATTATATGTACGGTATGTACCATTGCCTGTATGAAATCAAAACAATGTGTCTGGGTATGGTAATACGGCATCCAGCAGACAGTAAACTTGCTGAGTACAACGTTAAAATCAAGCTCTGCATGTCAGTCTGGTATAAAGCAGGGGTCATATTCATATTGCTATAACATGTTCTTGTCCTGAATATGCATTTAATTGTCGCTGGAAGTCAAGCGGCCATCTATAATCATCATAATCCAAAACACATAGTTGGTGCCAAGTTTGTTTCATCTGTAACTTCAATAGTTTGTTTCATCTGTAACTTCAATTGTTTGTTTCATCTGTAACTTCAATTGTTTGTTTCATCTGTAACTTCAATAGTTTGTTTCATCTGTAACTTCAATAGTTTGTTTCATCTGTAACTTCAATAGTTTGTTTCATCTGTAACTTCAATAGTTTGTTTCATCTGTAACTTCAATAGTTTGTTTCAATTTATTGAAACACAGTTTGAAGATGTGCACCTCTTATTTTGAACAGATTTGAATGACTTTTTCTCACTTTTGTCATGTGTGGAACTTTATCAATTTTGTCATAAAGGTATTAAACCTATGTTGGGCTAATATATCAAGGTATTATACCTGTGTTGGGTCAGTATATCAAGGTGTTCCAAAAACTATGGGTAAAAAGTAAAAAAACAAAAAGAGCGAACTCCAAGGAAAATTCAAAACGGAAAGTCACTTATCAAATGGCAAAATCAAAAGCTCAAACACATCAAACGAATGGAAAACAACTGTCATATTCCTGACTTGGTACAGGCATTTCCTTATGTAGAAAAACCTGGTTTTGTAGCTAGCTAAACCTCTCACTTGTATGAAAGTCGCATAGAATTCCATTATATTGACAACAATGTGTGAGCAAAACAAACAAACAATAAGTAAAAATGTGGTACAGAGTCAGCCTCGTGTTATAATCTTAATCACTATAAAAACATACAACTATGTAAACAAAGAAAAAAACAAAATGGCATATAGACAAAGCACATAGCAAAAATTGAGAGATAAGAATACAAAAAAATGACCGTAGCATAATAACACCATGGCAGGATGTATAAATACAGAGCCATGCCAAAAGTATATAACCAACAAGAATGTGTCTATAGTACACGGATGCCCCACTCGCACTATCATTTTTTATGTTCAGTGGACCGTGAAATTGTGGTCAAAACTCTAATTTGGCATTAAAATTAGAAAGATCATATCATAGGGAACATGTGTACTAAGTTTCAAGTTGATTGGACTTCAACTTCATCAAAAACTACCTTGACCAAAAACTTTAACCTGAAGCGGGACAGCCGGACGGATGGACGAACTGACGAACGGACGCACAGACCGAAAAACATAATGCCCCTAGGTGGGGCATAAAAAAGGACTAAACAGTAAAGGGTAAAAATATACAAAGACAAATAAAAAGAACACTATAATTGTAATTTAATTCGTTTAAACAGGCAGTGCATTAGAATGATATTAATTTCTCCATGGTGTTTTCATCACATGTAGTATAGAGGGCGTTAGGTTTTCACGCTTCAAAATTATTTTCGTGGTTTTTTATTTCCTATATATCATTCAGCACTTCACCGTCAATCTGAACAGTTGGAATTTATCTTGGTCCGCTGCCATCTTAAATATCTCCATGGATTCAGACTCCAACACCACTTGATGAATCTCCTGATGTTTCATTACAGAACATTTTGAGAGCTGTTAAATAACTCTTAACTCCGCCAGGAGTCTCATTGATTTAAAAAATGAGGTTCAAGGGTCTACTTTAACTGTCGCTTCGCAGGTTAAAAACCGAAAGTTGAAAATGAATATCATTGGAAATATGAAGGTAATAAGGTGCAACATACACTTAATTCTGAAGTTTTAATCAAGTAATTTGGACTATTGAACATTGTAAATCAGATTATGCACGTGAGACTGTTGTTGAGGTTATTTACAAACTTTAAAAACGCAACAAATTGATAAAGATTGCTGATAGCAGTGAGGGTGGTTAGGATACTGTTAGGAAGTATGAGACTAACCCGGTTGCAAGTGATACCGAGTATGAAAACAAATTCATCAATGCAGAGAGTAGAGCTATTAAAAAGCGCAAGTTCAAGGCGTCAAAAAAGGTTAAGTCTTCTTCTACTTATGCTAATAATTCTGCTCAGAATGTACCCAATATTCCAGCAACATTCCAACTGCAGCCCTTTCGGGAACCTCAGACCGGTTGGTATGCCGGTTTCCTGTTAAACTCCAACATGCCCAGCACGAGCGGAAGTCGGCCTAAATTCCAACAAGGAGCCTGCTATGGTTGTGGATCTATGCAACACTGGAGGAATAGATGCCCATTCAACCCAATAGCAGTCAGTAAGTCAAAAACGGAATGATTTCATAAAAGATGAGTATTTAAATATTTCTATTGATAGTCAATCGAGTGCACACTAACTTACACACGACTACCTTGAAAATGAACAAGGTCAGGAACAAATTATCGTCAAAGGTAGATTAAAGAGACATATTGATTTTTGGTATAGTATCGGTTGTTATGATTTCATTATTGACACTATTTTACATGGATATAAAATACCTTTTTTTAACTATACCGCCTTCCGTTTGCTTACATAACAATCGTCCTGCTATTAAACACAGTGATTTTGTTTTGGAAGCTATTGATGATCTTTTGATTAGAGGACTTATTATTGAATGTACTAATAAACAAGAGGCTGTCAGAGTGACATCAAACCGGATCTTCCTGCAGAGGTCGAACCCTGAACAGTTGAGCAAGTATGGACACTACATTTAAGCTTAAACAGCTCTGAATTTGGATTGTGATTGAATATATGACACAGCATAGGTTTGTGACACAAAATGAATGTGGTCAAAGAACTGAAATATTTGAAATGGATCATTTACCTATTATGGTCCAATATCCAAAATCTAAGTACATTGTTAGAATCAGCATATCAAAGAACCCAAAGAATTCAATTTTTGATGAAATCAAACAAAAGCTTAATTTAGGACCCTTTGGACCTCAATGTGGACCAATTTGATGAAGGAGCCCACAATCAAAAATCTCTCAATACATGGCTTGATTCAGCATTTCAAAGAACCCCATAAATTCATTTTTTGTTAAATCAAACAAAGTCTAATTTTGGACCCTGATTTGGACCAACTTGAAAACTGGGCCCAAAAATTTAATATTTAAATACAGGTTTAGATTCAGCATGTGAAAGAACCCTATATATATTCAATTTATGTTGGAATGAAACACAGTTTAATCTTATCCATATAATTTTCTGTTCAATGGGAAATAACTCAAACTGAATAAATAGTTCTCTCAAATTAGATATTATGTTATATACATCTATTTTCAAATTATAATCAATAATATAATAACAACAACCAGTGATGACTAAATTCTCTAAAATTAGATTTGATTCAATCACTTAAACATTGTTAGAAATTAGCATATCAAACAACCCCAAGAATTCAATTTTTGATGAAATTAAACAAAAGTTTAATTTAGGACCCTTTAGACCTCAATGTGGTATAATCTAATAAATAATGAAATTAAATACAGGTTTAGATTCAGCATTTCAAAGAACCCTATATATATTCAATTTATGTTGAAATCAAACACAGTTTAATTTTGGACCCCGATTTGGACTTACTTGAAAACTGGGCCCAAAATCAGAAATCTAAATATATGTTTATTAATAGACAATATAAGCTTAGTTTTTAAAGGAGTTCACTTCATAAAAAAATACATATAGCATTCAGAAAATTAGTTTTTACAGAATAACAAACAAACCTACCACAAAATTCTTCAAACAATTAACCAAAGAAAAGAAAATCCAAAATTTTATCATTAATACAATGTCTTTTAAAAATCTATAAAACTTATCTGTAATTATCTTCAAAATGTCTAAAAATGAACAGTAGATTTCTTACTATATTTATACAGTCCTATATAGCTTATAATCATCAGCACTTAGGAAACAGAAAATTTTTAAATAAATCTGTCACTCCAATTATAATTGTGTCATAAGACATTTACCATATGGTTTGTAATCTGATAACAGGGGAAAATTTTTAAAAAACACTTAGTGTAATCAAACTTTATATATATAATTAACAATTTCTGTTCAAAGGGAAATAACTCAATCACATTAGAAGTACCACTTTTGGATATTAAAAAGGGCAATAACTCAACAAGGAGAAAAGAAAAAACCGTGAAAATTGAACTTGACCTTCATTTAGTCACAGGATACAACATATATAAATTTGAAAAAATTTGGTTATAGTGTTTTCATGTTATTGAACGGACACTGTTTGGCAGTCGCCCGATAGCCCTCCCACCCGCTCGCCCGCCGTACATCCCCAAATCAATAACCGATTTTTACTTCGAAAATCCGGTTAAAAACCATTAGTTGTAAATCCACTTACTGTCTCTATTCAAACCAATGGCAAAAAACGTTTAATTTTAGATCTACGTCATGTCAATTTACATCCGTGGAAGACATCTGTGAAATTTTAAGATATCCGTGTAGCTATGCAATTTATCAAAAAGGATTTTTATTGTTTTTAGTTAGACATATATGAGCCGCATACTGATTACCTAGGGTTTTCCTGGACATATGGCGAAAGTACTAAATATTTTAGATTTCTAGTCCTCCCTTTAAGATTAAATTCTGCCTGTTACATATTTACTAAAGTTACCAGGCCATTAATAAAAAAAATGGAGAGGCGAAGGTAAACACATTTTATGTATTTAGATGACGGGTTTGGTACCTATTCTGATTTGAACGCCTGTACATATATTGCTGCACAAGTTAAACAAGACCTTATTGACAGTGGTTTTTTGTGTTAAACCAATATTTATAGCGATGCTATTGGCATGTGTATTGCATTCTTTGATAGATTTTATGAGGGATAAGCGCATTAAATGGTTTACGGATAACCAAAACGTTGTTTCCATAGTCCATAAGGGCAGTTTGAAATCTTATTGGCAAGATATTGCATATGACATTTTAGTGACTTGTTTGAAGCACAACGAGTCACTAGAGGTTGAACGGATAGCAGGGCTGAGAATGAAATTGCAGACCATATAAGTCGTATCATAGACACTGATGACTGGGGTCTTGCAGTACATGTTTTTGAATATCTGGATTCCCTTTGGGGTCCTCATGAAATTGACTGGTTTGCTAGTGATCATAACCATCGATTACCTGTATTTTGTTCCAGGTATTGGAATGTACATTCAATGGGTATTGATGCGTTCATTGTTAATTGGCAAGGTATAAATGGGTGGTTTGTTCCCCCAATTTGCCTATTTTTGAAAGTGCCTATGTACATGCAGCAGTGTAAAGCATACGGTACTGTTATTTTACCTTTGTGGAGATCGGCGAATTACTGGCCGTTTTTGTGTACCTGGTAGAGGGAATACATCGGTTTTTGGTAATATTGATTTACCATTTAGGATGTTTGCTCTTAGAATGGATTTTAGGGAGACATTTGATTAACAATTAATAATCATTTGGTGGTAGTTTTTCTTGAATTGGTTGACGTTTGTATTGCAGATATTATATTGTAATTTTATTGGTTTATCATGTTTATTATGTATTGCATTGATGAAATATTCTAAACTTGGAAAGGGATCACATATTTATTTAAAATTATGTTATTAAGTATGTTTTTCCAGGTGTTCAGAAACAATATTGCAGAGTTACCAAATTATCTTGACAGTTATTTAGCCGTTATTCCTGATTTGTTAGCAAAAAGTAAATCGGACAACACAGTGAAGAAATATTATTATGTTTTTTGAGGTATAATAGTTGGGGTTCTTACGATCTAAAAACCACGATATGGACCACGCTCTGATTGGCTTATTTATTTTTCATTTTTGTTATCTATCATACGATTGGTTCTCAATGTAACTCGGATTTATTCTACGAAAAAAAGAGTTTCCGAAGTGTACTTTCTGTTTCGATTTCACGTTATATTTATACTGCTGTTAATTGACGGGCAAGAAGTCCTAAAGATGCGGAAAAGGGTAAACACTAAAACAAAAATTGCATGTTTACGACCAAATAACAAACATACCTTTGTTTTAAACATTAAGGCCAAAATATCAGGATTTGGTCCAACCTGGGATTTATAAACTTAAAAGTTCTCAGTATAAGTCTATAAGTATAACTAATGAGTGGTGTGATCATGTTGATAGTAAGAGATACTCATATTCATTATTATATGTTTACACAGTTGTGCCCTATGATTTTTTTTATTATTGCCCTTAGTATAGGGGGTCTCATTTTTTTGGGGGGGGGGGGGGGGTTCTGATCCTGGATCCCACTTATTGTTTAGTGAGAATCCCGTATCCCTCTTCTCATTGCCATAATAGCGCATGTTATTTCCTGTGTCCTGCCGGACTTCGTTTCCTGTTTTTACGCTTAATTATTCGACCATCACGTGTCATGCTTAAAAAAAATCAGCCAATACCCGGTCACGCTTAGACCCTAATTAGACCCACTTAATTAGTATTCATAACCATATGATTAAACAGTAAGGCTTTGATGATCGTCTGATTATTGCCCATTATAATCATGATCATATGATTAAACAGTTCGGCTGTGATCATTGTCTGATTATTGCCCTTGATAATCTTGATCATTTGATTAAACAGTTCGGCCGTGATGATCGTCTGATAATTGCCCTTGATAATCAGTATCATATGATTAAACAGTTAGGCCATGATGATTGTTTGATTATTGCCCTTAGTATTCATAACCATATGAATAAACAGTTAGGCTGTGATGATCGTCTGATTATTTCCCTTGATAATCATGATCATATGACTAAACAGTTAGGCCTTGATGATCGTCTGATTATTGCCCTTGATAATCATGATTAAACAGTTAGGCCATGATGATTGTTTGATTATTGCCATCAAAATTCATGATTATCTGATTACACAGTTTGACCGTGATGATCATTTGATTATTTCCCTTACTTTTCATGATTATCTGATTACATATTTTTGATTATTGCCCTTAGTATTTATAATTATCTAATGTAAGGTTTGATTGTTGCCCTTGATATTCATGATAGATTAGATAATGTTATATCACACTTTGATCATGTTAATCATTTGATTATTCCCCTTATTGTACATGATCCAGGATTTTGAAAAAGGGGTAGATGCCCTATGGTAAACCAACATTTAGAGCAATACGTTTATAAAGTCTATACATTTATCATATATGAAGCTCCCTGCTCCCTCAAAATCTGCCTTTGATGATAATGTGATTACAGGGTTTAATCATCACTTCAAATTGATTGGTTAATTATTGTCTTTTATAACCTTGTTTAATCATGCCAATAGTTTTGATTTCTGCCCTAAAAATTCATGATCATGTTATTAAATAGGTTGATCATTAAATAGTTAAATAGTTTGATCACTGCAATGTAATTGCAATACTTATATCAAACCTGTACCTAAGAACCATATCAACAAAACAATACATACATGTCATATAGACTGTACGTAAGAACCATATAGACAAAACTTATAACATAAACCTAAGAATCATAAACAATACATATACCCTCAATATAAGAACCATAGAAAAATATATAAAGCCTATATCTAAGAACCATAGAAAATACATATATAGTGTCGACTATACTTAAACACCATAGACAACATAATAAGCTTATATCTAAGAATTATAGACAATATATACAGCCTATTTCTAACAACAATATACTAAACATATAGACTGAAACTAAGAACCATAGACAAAACATATCATGCATATATCCTTTATATACGAACAATAGATAATACATATAAACTAAACCTAAGAACCATAGACTATACATATATACTCTACCTAAGAACCACAGACAATACATATAGACTCTACCTAAGAACCATAGACAATACATAATACATATAGACTGAACCTAAGAACCATAGACAATACATAATACATATAGACTGAACCTAAGAACCATAGACAAAACATATCATGCATATATCCTTTATCTAAGAACCATAGACAATACATATAGACTGAACCTAAGAACCATAGACAATACATAATACATATAGACTGAAACTAAGAACCATAGACAAAACATATCATGCATATATCCTTTATATAAGAACAATAGATAATACGTATAAACTAAACCTAAGAACCATAGACTATACATATATACTCTACCTAAGAACCACAGACAATACATATAGACTGTACCTAAGAACCATAGACAATACATAATACATATAGACTGAACCTAAGAACCATAGACAATACATAATAAATATAGACTGAACCTAAGAACCATAGACAATACATAATACATACAGACTGAACCTAAGAACCATAGACAAAACATATCATGCATATATCCTTTATCTAAGAACCATAGACAATACATATAGACTGAACCTAAGAACCATAGACAATACATAATACATATAGACTGAAACTAAGAACAATAGACAAAACATATCATGCATATATCCTTTATATAAGAACAATAGATAATACGTATAAACTAAACCTAAGAACCATAGACTATACATATATACTCTACCTAAGAACCACAGACAATACATATAGACTGTACCTAAGAACCATAGACAATACATAATACATATAGACTGAACCTAAGAACCATAGACAATACATAATACATATAGACTGAACCTAAAAACCATAGACAAAACATATCATGCATATATCCTTTATCTAAGAACCATAGACAATACATATAAACTAAACCTAAGAACCCTAAACTATACATATAGACTCTACCTAAGAACCACAGACAATACATATAGACTGAACCTAAGAACCATAGACAATACATAGTACATATAGACTGAACCTAAGAACCATAGACAAACATAATACATATATCCTTTATCTAGACTCAAAGACAATACATTATACATATATCCTTTATCTAGACCCAAAGACAATACATATAGACCAGTCAGGCATATAACTCTACAGGGTTATTCCAGAAAATATCTTACATGTGTTATTACAGATACTTTCATGAGTTGTCTACTCTTTAATCCTTTAATTGTCTAAATCTGTGAGAACATATGTTTGTGATAAGTAAAAGAAACCATAAACATTTTAATATTTAGTGGGCTCTAGGGAACTCTTGAAACTTTGTGGAAAAACTAAATGCATAGCCTTGAAAAGTGATTTTTGAATTTTCATAAACCATATAAAATCAATGTGATGAGGCTTTTAAGGGATACACTTAGCTGTAATAACAAGGCTTAGATATTAAAAGCATGTGACTTATTATATGAGACACTTGGGAATTACTGGGAAGCTTACAGAGAACCTCATTACATGCTCTGATCCTTATTTCTTACAATAAACTAAAAAGACATTGTAATTAAGCCTGATGTATGTCTGAGCAAATGCTTTGGAGTGATGTAGAGAAGCTGTAATAACACCCTTTTAAATAGTTATTACAGGCATTACAGGCATATTTTTTCTGTACAAGTTACATAGATGTACTATGCATGTTTGGCAAACTATGAACTGTTATATCTTTCTATAGTTGTGTATACATAGGACAAGAGTAATATCGATAGAACTTGTAAACATTTTAACAAAACTAATTATGTATATTGTCCCTTTGAAACATGTAACAAACATATGTTATCACAGTTCTTTGATTTTTTAGTCCACAATAACAAATATATGTTATTTTTCTCTAATAATCCTATAGAGTTATATCCTTGACTGAAGATGGAACCTAAGAACCATAGACAATACATATAGACTCTACCTAAGAACCACAGACAATACATATGGACTGAACCTAAGAACTATAGACAACACATAATATATGTATATAGACTGTACCTAATAACCATAGACAATACATGTAGCCTATATCTAAGAACCATAGAATATACATACAGACTGAACCTAAGAACCATAGACAATACATGAAGCCTATATCTAAGAACCATTTAGTTCCGTGTTGAAGGCCGTACTTTGACCTATAATGGTTTACTTTTATAAATTGTTACTTGGATGGAGAGTTGTCTCATTGGAACACATCTTCCTATATCTATATACCTAAGAACAATAGACAATACACGTAGACTAAACCTAAGAACCATAGACAATACAAATAGACTGTACCTAAGAACCATCAACAAAACATATAGACTGAACCTAAGAACCATGGACAATGCATATAGACTATACCTAAGAACCATAGACAATACATATAGCCTATATCTAAGAACTATAGACAATCCATACAGACTGTACCTAAGCACCATAGACAATACATATAAATTGAACATAAGAACCATAGACAATGCATATAGACTGAACCTAAGAACCATAGACAATGCATATAGACCGAACGTAAGAACCATAGACAATGCATATGGACCATATCTGAGAATCTTAGACAATGCAAATAGACTCTACCTAAGAACCATAGACAATACATATAGCCTATAACTTGGAACCATAGACAATGCATATAGCCTATAACTTAGAACCATAAACAATACATATAGACTTTACCTTAAAACCATAGGCAATACACATAGCCTATATCTAAGAACCATAGACAATGCATATAGATTGAACCTAAGAACCATAGACAATGCATATAGACCAAACTTAAGAACCATAGACAATGCATATAGACTGAACCTAAGAACCATAGACAATGCATATAGACCAAACATAAGAACCATAGACAATGCAAATAGACTGAACCTAAGAACCATAGACAATGCATATAGACTGAACCTAAGAACCATAGACAATGCATATAGACCGAACATAAGAACCATAGACAATGCATATGGACCATATCTGAGAAACTTGGACAATGCACATAGACTCTACCTAAGAACCATAGACAATGCATATGGACCATATCTGAGAACCTTAGACAATGCACATAGACTCTACCTAAGAACCATAGGCAATACATATAGCCTATAACTTGGAACCATAGACAATGCATATAGCCTATAACTTAGAACCATAAACAATACATATAGACTATACCTTAAAACCATAGGCAATGCACATAGCCTATATCTAAGAACCATAGACAATGCATATAGACTGAACCTAAGAACTGTACACAATGCATATAGACCGAAGGTAAGAACCATAGACAATGCATATGGACCATATCTGAGAACCTTAGACAATGCACATAGACTCTACCTAAGAACCATAGACAGTACATATAGCCTATAACTTGGAACCAAAGACAATGCAATATAGCCTATAACTTAGAACCATAAACAATACATATAGACTATACCTTAAAACCATAGGCAATACACATAGCCTTTATCTAAGAACCATAGGCAATACACATAGCATATATCTAAGAACCATAGACAATACATATAGCCTATATCTAAAAACCATAGACAATACATATAGCCTATATCTAAGAACCATAGACAATACATATAAATTGAACATAAGAACCATAGACAATGCATATAGCCTGTATCTTAGAACCATAGACAATGCATATAGACTGAACCTAAGAACCATATCTAAGAACCATAGACAATACATATGGACCATTTCTAAGAACCATAGACAATACACATGGACCATTTCTAAGAACCATAGACAATACATATAGTCTGAACCTAAGAACCATAGACAATACATAAAGCCTGTATCTTAGAACCATAGACAATATATAAATCCAAATGTAACAACCATAGACAATACATTTAGCTTATACATTACCTTTAATAAATGATATATTGAATTCAATTATTTTTCTGTCTACAGAGTTCCAGGAGACTTGGTGCATTCATTCTTAGTTAACAAATCACATTGTAAAGGTTTTGGACACACTCTGTAATGTCACACCAGATGTATTAGATACTGGTATGTATATAGAAAATATCAATATTGTTTTATTTTTAGATTTGGTAAGTGCCCCATGCATTAATTTTGAACCCCATCATTTAAAATTAAAAATTCCCTTTTTTTTCTCTATGAATTAATCCATAGGTTTTTTGACTGGAAACATAGGTATAAAAATAAAAAGATGTGGTATGATTGCCACCAGAGACTATTTGACATAAAGGTAAGGAACTTAAGGTCATTGTACAGCCTTCAACAATGAGCAAACCCATTAAAGAACAAATAAAAATGTTCAGCTGATAAATGGCCTAACTCATCAGATCAATACGAACATGACAATTAAACCACAAAAACAACTGGAGCCAATTTATCAGCAAAAAAGATTTTTCTGATCATGTTTGTTGTGACAAATGAAATATTTAGCTTGAAAATTAAGTCTGCAAGGCCCTGCTATTTATGTTTCCTAGGCTTATAATATTGGTTGAAATCCTGACCATTTGTCCACTTTTACAACAACCTCCATTTTACATAATTGAAGTGTCTTGAGCAATTTTCTGTATTAAAAGATAAACAAAAAGTGTCCTGTTTAAATACTTTCTTACACATGTAATCATCAATTTGAAACACTTTCAGCTTGTTGCAATGGTCAGAAAAGACATTTCTTAATCTACTCTTTTATATATTTCTAACACAAGAAAATATATACATTATAAAATATGTGGCAAGGAAACCCTTGGTTATTTATACAAGACTGTTATTCTATGCAAGAGTGTAATATTGATCTTCTTGCAAATCTAATGGAACTTTTACATTGGGTCATCTTCTTTTGGTCAAGGTATTTAAACATTTATCTGTTCTATTATCAATTGAATAATTACAATGGTTATAAGTCTCTATATATTCACTTGGACCTTTAAATATCTTCTAAGAGAAATCTATCACTCAATGATTAATTTACATGAATAACAAAGATGAAAAGACATGTATCAACTCATAAAACCTCTTGCTTGCCAATTCTATGAATTCTGCAAGATCATGCATGAAAAAAAAAGATATTTTCGTCAGAAACTATTTGACAGAATGTGGTCAACTGCTATACAGTAATGAGTTGTAGAGAGTTTGCTCTTTTCAGGTCTTTCATGCACCAAATTCTATACTTTCTTCTCAAAATGCAATGTGTTCTGTCTGACTTCTTTGAAAATTTATAGTTTAAGTTCTAAAAGAATTAATGAGAGCTTACACATTCTAACATAAGAATTTTATATTTCAGGTTGTTCAACATCTACTATGTCAAAGTTCACATAAAACCTCAAGGAGTTAGCACACAGATGGTTGAGCAGAATAACTGAACAAAACAACAAAAAAAGATTTTAACATTCTGTAATACATGAACCATTGAAATTTTTCATAGGCACTGCACATAAATGTATATGAAAATTATAAACTATTGATGTCTTTAATTATAGGAACTATTTACAAGTTGTCTAGTATATAATAATGACATGAAAAAAATACCTATTTTAAAAATATTTTTGTAATATTTAAATTATCCATGAATATTTTCTTGAAGCTTTTTTTAAAACTTCATTGGATAAAAGAGATGGTAGGTGGAAATTCTGCTTAGATAATATGAAAACTAACTAAACAAATCGTATACATGTATACTACTTTTGGAATATGATACATACATCTTTATCGAAGCATAATTGAGTATAACAATAAAATCAATACCATCGATTGTTTGTAAATATTTATGCTTATATTTCAATAATGAGTAAAAATCATTATCATTAATTGAAACAACTTGCTCAGAAATGCTTACCAATAACTAGAACCAAGGTGTGAAGGACATAATATCCATTACATTTTGTAAATTATCAGAATATATGTGACATTAGCAAAAGGACTATTTTAGTTTTTGATTATATAAGCTTAATACTTAATGAGGCCATCACTTGTTATATTAAAAACATATTTTGACGTAAAGGCATATTTACAAACACATTAGTTTTAGATAATACAGGTAATAACAGAAACACAGGTATTAACACATTTGTGTTACAATTCTGTTGTTTACAGAGTATACACATATTTATAAACAACTAATAAATATAGATTCTACCACTGCATCGAGTGTGATACGATATTAATCCACTTGAGACAGTTAAATTTTAAAATTTAAAACG